CTTTAGATGAACGATTCAGTAAGAACGCACTTGCAGTCAAGGATATCAATACATCACACCACGGCCTTTGGAGCGTTTTTCCAGCGGTCAACGAGTTCCTCGTTTGTCTTGCCTGCGATGCGCTTTGTAGTGGACGCTACCGAGCATCAACAAAAAAATAATGCAGGAGGATGCGTATCACCAAGTGAGATTCTTATTGTTGGGGCCTTCCCGTTTTACAAAGCAAGCAACACTCTCAATATTGATGCCGACACTTGGGACCCTTTTCAAACTTTGAGTGTGTATATGGGCTGAGTTGGTCGACAGCTGTGAAGTCCTCTTTGTTGCTTCCACATGTGTTTTGCTACAGTGGGATGCACTCCTCGATACTAAGAAGAAATTCAAGACTGGGTGTAAGTCAAAGATATAGAGACATTGAACCGACAACCAAAAATGGAAGCAGAACGACGTTGCTCAATGGATTCCTGTCATTACTTACAATCTCTTCATCAGTCGGTGCATCCGGATTAGGCCTATTGATATAGTTATGCGCAATTCCCGAGTACGCAATTGGCCCATGTGTATACTCATCGTCTCCATACTGTGGCTTAAACAATCCATATCGTCCACTCTCAAACGCATATCTCACATCATTGTCAGTAGTAAACCTCGAACCAGGATTTGGTTCAGGAATATCATTCCATGGCCGATTCTGTTTGGCTGCACCGGTATATTCCTTTTTGACGAGATTTGTATCAATGGTCTTGGTGGGACCTACGATATGGTCTGCTGCATGCGTTACAGAGATTGGAGGATGGAGCATCCGGGATGTTGGGATTATGGATTTCGGGTCGCGCAGGGATGTCCAGTATGTTGGGTCACGGCGCTTGAGGGCGTGGGATTCGGCTGCGTCTGGTGGCAGCGGTGTTGTTGATACGTGAGGAGGTGTTTTGAGGAGTCCCGGGCGTGATGAGCGTGTGAAGGCATCTTCACGCATCAAGGCTGGAATTCGTGGGATTTTGGTTGGAGGCGTTGATATGTGATCTGGTTCGGCGGCTGGAGATATGCCGGGAAGACTTGGAGGTGTCTTCTATAAGACCAGTTAAAACTGTGTTGGCGGTTGTTTGCTTGTGGCTGTTCTTCCTGCCCAAAGTTTATGCAGGAGCGACAACAGCCGCGTTCCTGCAGTAGCAAAATGATTCACGAAGTGAACTTACAATAAATCGGTTGCGTCCATCGCCACTTCCAAACCGATGAATCTTGGCAGGAGCATCAGAAACAAAAGCACCAGTTCTAGCGGGCAAAATCTTTGCCAAGTCATTCATGGCTGACTTGTTCCCCAGATGTGGATCTCTCCAACTGATAACAGCATATGAATCCGGAGTTGGGGGTGCCTGTTGACGCGTTATGGATGTGAGAAGCCCGGTTTCATTGTTTTTTAAGCCGACAAAAAAATCGGACTCTACTACACTGATCACTACTTATTCACACTTACTGGAGCAGGATTCAAAGTATTCTTCCTCATAGTGGTACATCCACTTTCAATAGATCCAATGACTTTGACTGGACCATAATCTTTAGGACGGCCTGGCGGATCATGCTGCTGAGCTGTCTCAGTTTGAAATGGTGCTTCAATCCTGAAATATTGGATTTAGTTGTTTTAGAAATGTGTGGTGACCAATGTGTATATGGTGTTCGCAAAAAAAAAAACCACTGCTGCAGAATTTGAGACACTAGCAGTGCCAACCCCATGTTTAAATCATTCAGTTGTTTTCAAGCTCAAAACAACTTACTTAAATCCCTTCTCATCAATCTTCTTCTCATAAGGCACCCAACCATGCAAATTAGCAGCAAATCCAGTTCGTCTCGTTGCTGTTGTTGAAGGTTTCTTGATTCCAGAAAATCCATTACTACTAATAATGCCAGTATTGCTGCTGTTCTGAATCATCCCAGTAACTTGATGAGCGACATGGCCATGGAAGGAAGAATACGATGTAGCGTAAAAGTTTCGTGGGTCCAGTGAAGCTCCATTTGAAGCATACACTAGTGATGTTGCTCTCACATTGGATGGATCCATCGTACCTGGATATGGGCGATCGATAGAGAGATTTTAGTATGTGTTTGTGCATTGTTTGGAGATTGTGAAAACAAGTGCACAGTAGCATCAACCTTGTGCACTTACCTATCTTCTCGTTCTCTTGAGAAAAGAAGATCCGTCTACAATAAAAGCAAGTCTGGTGCTTCTTGAGCTCTCAAGATTGATGATTCAATCGCGTGAAAACTTCCGTTTTTCGTGTTTAAGGACTATCGCTTGGTTTTATGTGACGTCAATCAAGTAATGAAATTTAGGGTCTGAAAATTTCCTATGATGATTGGACACTTCTGTTAACCTTTTCAGAGTTTCCTGCGCGTTGTCGCACCATAAAAAACATTTCCTCTGTGTGGGTGATGCAGCCCAACAAAGCGACACTTGACGCTGGAGATGAAGCAGTCTCTGTTATGCCGAGTTTGTGAATAGAATGCATATACGAGAGTCCAATAAAGGCTTTCGTTAAGTGAAAAGGCACGATACAGATTGTCCAAAATTTAGATAGTGTCCTTTGAAACGCGATTTTGAACGTCTCCAAGCCCATGGCTCTGACATCCTATCATGCAAGATAACAGAGAACCAATGGATCACCAAGACCGTATGAGAATCTTACAACCCAAAGGAAAAGGTTAGCGCGAGCAACAACATGTTCTTCCACAAACTACATACCTGAAACGGATTGTAGACTGCGTATTTACTCAAGCCAGCACTATTCGAAAGAAAAGATTGGTGACTAGGCTGTTTCCTTATCCACATTTTGACCAGAGCTACCAACAACACAAACAGTGATCTCCAAATCCTGCTCTCGTTCAACGGGGTTGTCACACAGACTAGTCAAATTGGGGTATCCCACTAGGTTGATGATCAATGACCCAACGCCCAACAGCACACGGGCTAGCATCGTCGTGAGATAACCATTTGATATTCTTTAAGATGAGCTCGTGACGAAAAAATGCAAATAAATCAACGTACAAGTCAATACTTAGTTGTGTCTGTTTTACAGAAAGAGTTCACCACCCAACCAGTTACTATCTGAAACCCCCAAATGGGAACAATCCAAAGATCTCATTAGATTGATACAAATACTGAAAAGCTACCACAAAAAGCTTTAAACATGTCAGCATTGTTGAACTCAGCACCTGTATAGCGCCTTTCAATCAAACACACCAATGGTTACCTTAAACGTATCATACACCCTCGTCAGCACAGTAATAGAACTGGAATCGACGAGTCTATTCACAACCTCTCCAAATTGTTCTCGTAGCGCATTCATGACAGCTTGTTGGGCATTAGAGGGAACCATCCCAGAACAAGAGATCCAGGATGACAACACCGTTAGCTCGAGTTGATGTCCAATTGGGAAAATATCTATGCGGTTAAATTTGCTGGAAGAGCGTTTGAATCTCATCCCACAAAAAGCCTATCAGGGAAGCTTTGACGGTAGTCTCATCGTGTCAGCAAAAAAAAAGTCCATTCTATAAGCTCAGTACAGTTTTCCAGAGTCGACATGTCTATGCTTCTCAATAGACGGGAGGGTTATTTCCTATCACTTTATGAGGAATGTTAGTCAAGTAGTTCTACAGAAAGCCGTCTTTCAAGGACACGGGCACCATACTGTAAACCATTACTCAGCATCCCTTACCTACTTGAAACCATGGCTGCGATGAGTGCAAAGTTAATGGTGATTTAAAACCCTCGAACCACACTCCTTCACAACAACAAAGAAACAACTGGTACAGCCTCATGACCACTTCATCATTTAACAATTCCAAACATCTTCGTCATGATATACTATATAATATTTCTCATAGATAATCAGTGATGAGGAAAAAGAGACACAAATAAAATCAATGTACAAGATTAATAATAACTCGTGTATGTGTGTCGACTTCTGATGCAAAAACAGCCCACCCAACCGTGTATATCCCATAACGCTCCAAATTCCAACAAACCATGAGAGTAGAAGATCATAAGATCCCATTAGAATAATACTAGATAGGAGAGGAAAAGTAAGCACAAAAAAACTGAGACTCAGAGGATACATATGGCAAAGCACATAAAACGCCATCTTCATTGCCTTCAACATACCTGAAATGTATCATACAACCTCGTAAACACATTGTTCGCACTAGAATCAACCATCCTATCCACAAACTCTGCAGCTTGAGCTTCACTCAACTGCATCTGAAACCGTTCTCGCAGTGCATTTGTGACGGGATATTTAGCATAATTATTCATCGGAGAGGTTGCAGCTGGCAGTATCGATGGTGGGATGGTTGATCCCGAGGATGAGGATAAACCACCAGATGGATCAAGAATGCCGTGAGGCATTTCATGCGGTGATGTGCCGTTTGGTAATAATTCGCTTGTATTTGGTATGTATGTCGATGGTGGTTTTGTGTTGAAGCCTGTAAAGCATGGTAGCGCGGAATCTAGATAGCAAAATAGAATTTCATTGAGCAGCTGAGCAAAAAATGACTTCTGATCGGTATTGATGCTGTTTGCTCACCCTTCTCAAGCATCTCAACGAGAGCAACAAGCTTATCATAATTCTTTCTGATAGCCATAAATCCAAGCTTGACGAGCTTCCTGAACTCCTCAAACTTTGGACTTGTAGGGCCACCCATTATATCGAGATACTCTTGTGGTAGTTTAAAAGGAGCCAATTCAAATCCAACAGAGCCAGGTGAATTCGTGAGCATGAATCCAAAATCGATGTGCACAAGGTGTCCAGTTGAGAGGAGTAGAATGTTGCCATTATGTCTAAAGAGCGAAAAAAACCATCAATCAATCGGCCGACAGAGAGCATCAAGTCTTTTTCATCACACATACCTATCCCGTAATTGTAACAAGTATGTGGCTATCGAGTACCCAGCTAAAGATTTCATAAAATGGTCTTGAGCTCGTTGAAATCGATCCGTATTGGGATGTCCATATTTCTAAATGAAGGTGACACCGAAGTAAGACACCACGCGACAAAAACACATCATTACATTATATCAGTTCATGTACACTCACATCTATAAAGTGATCATACAAGCTATAGACGACTCCAGATTGATTTTGTTTTTGGGCGTATGCATTCTTCTTGATTGAATGGATTGATATGGAATTTCTAACTGTTTCAACCAGTCCAGATTGCTCTGATGTGACTAGCACTCGATATCTGTATCATTAAGAGAGAGGAGAAGGTTGAGATTTGAAACATCGCGCAAGATTGGACGATTTTTTTGCCGGTCATTGAAATAAACATCACGAATAAACAGTAACAAAAGGTCATCCACCTCCACAAAAAGCAAGCATTGCACTTACGAGCAAACCCATAAATCCAACGAGGCGGCCTTCCATATCCTCTGCATCTCTTCAATAAGCTGAAGAGCTAGTTGCTCCTGTCGTAAATCAGCACCTGATTTCACAATGACTGAAATCAGTCTCCACCTTGGATTAGATCCGTATGGTGATGCTGCTCTGACTCGTTCCAACTTTTGCTCCCAATCTTCTCGGAATACAGCGGCTATATTATTTGGTATTTGATGCGTAAGTGGTGAGTTTTGAAGTGGGTTTGGCAAAATTGCAGCAGGAAAGAAAAAGGTTTGGCAACCGCATCAAAAGACAGACAATCACATACCACTCGGATCTTCCTTATCAAGAGTCAAACAAGCCTCTTGAATCTTTTTAACTTCAGCCTCATCCAACTTACTATTACTGCCACTACTAGCAATACCATTTGGCTTCGGTGATCCTTCGACAGCATCTGTAACAGGTGACGGAGCATCTACAGCCGTCTTGCTAGACTCTCTAGCAAGTTTCAGTCGACTCTCTTCCAAAACCATCATTTCTTTAACAATCTTCCCACGAATCATTTCAAAATCAGTCTTCATCTTTTGATATTTACGACGATCTGCTCTTCCAAGAGCTGGAGATCCAGGGAAGGCACCGTTAGCTCCAGTCGATGTCCTTGTCGCAGGAGTACTACTATTATTACTGGGATTGGCAAGAGGTTGGAGTGGCAGAGGAGTCAAATTGGCAGGAAGGGTGTTTGAGTTGATTCCCATAAAGGCAATCAATTCACGTTGCTGCTGTTGATATAATTGGGCGAGCATGACGGCAGCTGTTCTCATCTTTTCAGCAAACAATTCTTCTTCCGGGAAACTAATTGCTGATGGTGCTCTGGGTCTTGTTATGCTACCGTTGGTGATGTTATCGTCGTGTAATATATCGGCGGTATCGTTTACTTTATCCTCTATTGTCCCATGCAAATCATGCTCACTGGTTGTTTCTGATGCAGTTAATGCCTTTTCACTCAAACCAGCAACACCGCCAATACCAATTCCGTCGTTGTCACTATTATTATAACCATCGACACCAACATCAGCATGGTCATGGCCGTCAGTACCATTAACGATAGATCCATCTCTACTCCACAAAGGACTCAATTGTGGTGTTTTACTAGCACTAGCTTCTTCAGATTCAATGACTTCCACAAGAAGCAAGTATGGAACCCGATCAGCAGAATTCAATACTACAGCATCAGCAGGCGGTATCCGTACTACTTTGTGGTGTCCTGATAAACCCTTTGATGCGCACCATAACGGTATACATATTTCAGCAGGTAGATTATGGTTGAGTAATTCCAATTCAGCAACTAGAGTCCGTTGTCGTGCTTCTCTAGGCACACTGAGTAGACGATTCGATATTTCAGTCAAAGCCATGATGAATTGTAATTCAGCATGATAATAGTGTGATCCTACTAGATGCTTATGTTCATCAGATACATCCGAGTATTCTGATGACGCTTTATGAGTCGATGCGTGTGATGGTACGGGTGATGTAGTGCCTGTAGAGAATCCAGCTGCACCAGCAGCTTTGACAGCAGCCGCATGCCTTAAATCTAGAGTTGATGTAGACCAAGATGCTTTACCATGAGGCAACATGGTTAACGACGAGGCACTACCAGATGCCTTGGCAGCGTATCGACCAAATGAGAATGCCGTTCCATGGTACATGTCTTGTACAGATGGAGAGCTCGTTGGTATACGTGCTATTAGATGTGACACTGGAGCTGAATCCAGTGATGCGGGTCTACGTACTGCCGTGGCAAGATTATTGAGCCTAGCATTCATAAATGCACTCGTGCTGGAAGGACCAGCACTGCCACCAGATAATGGTTTCACGTTTGTGGGACTCTGGTTGTCCTCTTCTTCAGGAGGAGTCACTGATCCCGTTCCTGCTATGCTACTACTAACAGCACTCGATGCACTACTATTATTACTGCTGGCACCTGGTATACCCCATGACCTCCATCGTCTGCCTTGAGCAATGACCATTTCTCTGGCGACTTGCATAACATGTGGTCCTCCTATTCCACCCATCATGGCACCTAGACCTACGATAGCTGGCGGTATATTTTCACGGATACGAGTATCTGTATTCCAATCTAGAGTTTGAGTGGGATCCGGAGTGTCTGCAAATATAATTGCTTGACATCGATGAAAGACTCGTTTTATAAGGCGATAGGATGGTGTCATGGGATGTAAACGTTGATCATACATATACGTCTGTAAATACCACAGCATCTAAAATAGACGAGTGATTTAGAAGTGCAATCAAGGTTTAGGAAGATGGAAGCAACAAAAGTATCCTTGCTAACCATGAGACCCCAATGTGCAGAAGCTTCACTTTGAGCCAGCATGAACTCTTCCAGAGCAGACGAGCTTGTTGGATTGTTGACCAGTAAGTGACTATTTGATTTTTTGAGCAGCGTGAGAGTCATGTTCAACACACACACCAGGGCATTTTGTCATCTGATTTCCATCAGAGTAACGGGTTTACGCGATGGATCAATACGAAACGAGATTCGGTTCTACCATACAACTGCAACAGTCCAATTACAACATGTGAATCCAAGTAAACCCTCGTGCATACCATAGTTGAGGCAACAGAAAGATGACATGGTCGTGAGGCATGGATTTGAGTCTGTTGCAGACATAAAACTGGATGCCCACGGTGTCGGGATATCTGTACAGGTAGGATACGGCGAGTCTTGCATCGAAAAAGTCGGACTGGAAGAGTCTCAGCAGCCAAGAGGATGACTGCTGTGATGTGGAAGGCAATGAGGGCTGCTGGGGTGATGTTTCGAGTTTGGCAGTAGATGCATCAGGAGCAGATGAGAATGTAGCAGTTGGCTGTACATGTCGTTGGTTACCACTATCAGTACCATCCTCCATTTTTTAGTAACAGAAATCTCAAATTTTGGGAGTCCGAATGTTGATTCTAGATTAAACAACAAACCAAGTCATTCTATGTCGGGAAATGGCCCGAGCACTTGAACCTAGTCCCTATACTAGCAGTCGTGAAAGTTGAAGGTCTTTGTTGCTGAAACCATCGATTTCCGAATGCTGGTGGTTTTGTTGCTTTCTGACAAGATCAAAGAGCATCACTATAAGCGAAAATCACGTCGTTCCTCGGCTGAACATCGCATATTCACGCGTACGTAAAAGCATTGACCGTTTTCCTTGCGTGAGATGGGGCGTTCTCGCTCGTAAAAACGTTGGTTTAATCTCACCCAACGATGCCTAATGTTATGAAACATTTTTGGGTTGAATAAGACGCAGTTTTGATCAGGCCATGAGTCAGGCCTTGACTGGAGTTAAGGTGGTAAGTTCTACCTACGATTGTGGTTGTTGAATCTCGCTGTCAGATTGCTCGATGATGGGTTTTCTGTGGTGAAGAAATGTCGAGCCTTGTCATTGCTTCTTGATTCAATAGTGCAACAGTTGAAGACCGCTTTCGACACGTTAGTTAACGCGCACTCGTGTGCTTGGATGCTTATTCCAGATACACGATGTGCTTACAACAGCTGGGTTGGAAAACCCACATACATTCAAGTCATGGACGTTTCGTCACCTACCTCTAAACCTTCTTCAAATTTTGCGTCCCTCACCGCCTCTGTAAACATTCTAGTATCTGCACTTCAATTCCCCGATTCACCCGGAATCGACAATGGTCTTGTCTCTCACAGACCATGTTGTGGTCTCTGATATCATAAACAGTTTTGTATCGCACTATAATACCAAACATCACCACTCCTCTTGGAAGATGGACGCTAAGCTTGTGACCTTGGCAAAGTCTGATGGCCGGTAAGGCGCCCACAGAATTCGATCAAATGACGATGCGTCTAACACAACTCTTGTTAGGATATTGAGTGCATCTGACAAAGTATCAAAGGTCATTGAACCGAAAGAAGACTTGTCCTTGGTTGAGGTTTCCCTACCAGCCGTGGCTCCTCTCGCCCCTCCCACCACGATTATAAAACAGGAGCCGACAAAACAATTAGAACCTGTACCAACAACACCAGCAAAACCAGAAGCATCTACGAAACCACCAGCTGAATCTCCGAAATCCACAAGAATCGTAATTACGAAAGAAGATGCGAAATCAAAGGACAGTAGCACCACGAGTAAGCTCACTATATCAGATTCGACACTTACGATAACCGCTACGTTTGCTACCCCTGGATCACCAGCAACAACAACCTTCGACTTGTCGGCATATGACTTACGAGGTGCTGATAACGTTATGGAAGATATGATACAGGAAAAGATAAAAAACAATCTCGTATTGGCAAACAAGGCGATTTCGAAAGGAGATACTCAAAGTGCTGGGGTTATTTATCGAAAGATATTACGAGCTGATGAAAAGAATTACGCTAGTTTGAATGGACTTGGTAAGAAAATGAGAGATTTATAATGACGTGAAAGGCCACTAACCGAGATTATCTTCTGCTATTTTTCGCTGTCTCACACACTGATTCTCCCTTTGTAGCTGATATATACTATAATGTCGGACGATATGCTGAAGCAAGAGATTACCATACGCGAGCTATCCAAGCGCTAGGACCTGGTGTTAGATACGACTTCAAGACAAAGAGAAGGTGGCTTTCCCTGAATATGCGTTTTTTGCCTTCTCATTCTAAGCTCAAACTCTACACTTCCTCTAAGGACGGTCGAACTATCAGGTCTATGTGGTGAATTGACAACAACGTCACAAATAGCCAACGCGTATACGGACTTGCTATTGGACATGGCTTGTCAAGACGATGTTTTACGAAGAGATGTCCAGATTGACTTTTCAAGAGCGCTCAAGAAATACGCGAATGAATTGGAATTGGCATGGAATATCGTTGTGGTGTGGGCTTTATGATTGGATTCCATTCCAAATTGACTCTTTTAAACAAGTTTTTTGCTCCCAACAGGCTGTATTGAAAGAGGACGAAAAGCATCCTGGAGGATTGTTAGAGTATGCTGAATACAATGCTGGAAGACCTGCTCCAGATGAGAGTGTTGGAATCCTATTGAGGCTCGTTATTCAGAATCAACGTGAGAAACTGTCAATTTCGATCTGTAGAATAACATCATCAGGTTTCAAACTTTCTATGTTTTGCACAGATGACAAGGAAGTCCGAACTGCGTTCGCCAACGCAGTTTACAAGGCAGACGGTCTGACTCTACTAGACCAAGCTCTTGGTGATGCCAAGAAGGGAGGCTTGGGAATAGCGTGGCTAGCTCAAGTGCTAAAAGACGATTCAGTACTTGGTCCTGCCATATCATTATACGAACGAGCATCCATCACAGACCCAAAGAATCCATGTTATTGTCTGAATTGGGTCCACGCCATCGAACTCACCTGTAATTATACCGAAGCATTACGTGTCGCTGGTGCCTTCTTTCGTAATTTCCCAAACGCTACTGTCGGAAAAGTCGTTTCGAATCGTGATTTATTACTCTTACTCGGCGATATGCAAGAGGTCTCCTTTAGAAGTGGGATTATACGTGATTTGAATATCAATCCCGGTAATAGTAATAGTAGTAGTCATAATAGTAGTAATAGTAGTTCGTCGTCGCTGAAATCGTCACCTGGACGTGGTAATAAGAGTTCACCAAAATCGTCACCTGGAAGAGGGAAAGGGGGAGGACATCATGACGATCAGGTGAATGGGAAGGACCTTCCGTCATCTGCTACAAATACCACTGTTACTAATGGAGTGATTAATTATGATTGGGAGATTGACTTGACCATAAGGCCAGGTAAGAGCAAGTGATTGGAGAAGTCGCAGAACAGAAACACCCTTAAACTTTTCGAAACATAGAATCACCACCAATACCCGGTCAAGATCCATACACAAACGACGAATTATACCTCCTGGCTCTCTGGATGACTGTGACTAAAATTCTTTTTCTAGGTGGTAAACTCGACTCTGTCTACCAACTAGCCAAACTAATCGAACCACTCTGCCGCGGTTGCTCCCTCCACACCACAACAATAGCAAACGAGAAATCATACTACTCGTGTTGCGTACTACTACGAGGCTATTTCATGAAAGCGTCACTATCGTCCCATCATGGATTGTCTGGTGAGAATCTGACTGATCGGATATACGTGCTTGGTGATTCACATGTGCTGCCATTGGCGTGGAGGACTATCGAGTTGAAGGGCAAACCATATGTGTTTTACCCATTGTGTACAACTGGATTGAAGGCATGGCATTTTAGAAGTAGTGGGAGGTTTTATCCGAAGGCTCATTTTTGGAATAATGTTGCGAGAGGTATGTTTTGTGTTTTATTTGCAGACAAGGGTGTTTAAAGTGCTGTTGGCGGTGTTTGAGTCAATCTGCAACATGGTGGTTAGAGCCAAAAAAAGTTCATCTAGCTGTATTGTAGATTGACCTAATCAGTAGAACTAACACAAGCATCTGTACACGCAGTGCCGAAGGGTGCCAAGATACTGCTAATAGTTGGTGAAATTGATTGTAGAGAGGGACTTCATAAAGCTGTAGGAAAGTCCAGGTAAGAAACGATGATCCCTTACGGAGATACAAATCGAATGTCACAGCTTGCTTTTTCTCGTCAAAATTTGCGAATCTCACCATTGCAATTGTTTCTTGATTGTTTGAAAGACATTTGAAGAAGAATTTTGATCGACATTTCTTCCTTTTTTCAAGGTATGATACCTGGGAGGAAGCCATGAGTGCTACTATATCTATCTATATGGATACATTAGAAGAAATCAAGAGACGGATAGCACCTGCTGAAGCTTATATACATCCAGCACCCCCTGTTTTGGCTGCATCGAGGTAAGAAAGTTGTCAATGTACTGTGTGTGTGCGTTGTCAATCGTGGAGTCTCGTATCAGGCATTGCTCTTATCTTCCATGCTACTTTTTTGCCTGTCGTGCCACGTTCTCAACTCAATTTGACAAACACATAAAACTGTTAGGCGGGCCGTCATTCTCTTCAACGCAATCCTAAAACAACGGTTGCAACAGCAGTATCCCGCTACTACCAACGGACTATTCAAATTCATGGACTTGATGCCCCACTTATTAACGTCACCACAACCCAAAGTCGACTTGTCGTATCTGGACAAGAAGACTGGCCCAAACAATTTCAGATTCTTGGAAAAGATTGTTTCGTATGATGGCAAATTGGTTGAAGAGTATGAAATGGACGGGACACATCTGAATCCGTCGTATGTCGATTTGATTAGGAATGCTTGGAGCTCTGATGGTGTTGTTAAATGATTATAGACATTGTAATAGCATATGTAAAACATGACGCATGAACAGATGCACTCCTTTGTGGGTTTTCTGAATTCTTTTTTGACTGTGATCCGAAACACACACCAGATCTCCTTGAGTATTTACGGAACACGAGATGCATTTGTGAGGACCAGGTCTTGTTTCTTGTAGGTATTCAAGACAGACATCCACGGCACAATTCCGAAACAGAGCTTATTGGCGCAACAAGATATAAGACGCCTTCCTTGTTCACTGTTTCCGTCACTACAGCAATGACATAATGAACTGGATTATTGTAGGAGGATTGGCAGTACTGTTGGTATACCTACAGCTTCGATGGATATCCCCTATAGTCTCATCCCCTTACATGGTATTAATTGCAATAAACAAATAATATGCAACATTTGACAGAAACTGACACTTTAACAACCAGGATGAGATATTTCATATCCGACAAGCTCAAAAATATTGTAATGGAATCTGGAACGAATACGATCCCAAACTCACTACACCTCCTGGACTGTACGATATATAGAAGCATATGCGACATCAAAGCACTTTTTTGGACAGAATATTGATTTGAACTAACACCCATCACATCTAGATATTTCGCATCCCTGGCTATTCTCACACCGTTAAAATTCATTGCTACATGGACGGATCCATGCAGTACCACGATGCTACGACTCACAAACACCATATTCGGTGTTGGGATTTACATTGTTTCGTATTTGCTGCTACAACATCTGCATCCATCTGAACGTGGAAAGAATATGGGAGCGCTAGTAATTGCAATATTCCCAGTGTCCTTCTTCTTTAATCTGTTGTACTACACGGACTCGGGATCGACGCTGTTTGTATTACTGTCGTATTGGATGATGGTGAAGGGATTGTATGGAGGTAGTTCCGTGGTAAGAATCAAGTTGAATAGACTCGTTGAGAAGATATAGCATAGAGCAGCCGTCCTTGTCGGTTTTTCACCCTTATTCAACAGGCAGGTCTCATCGCATTTGCATTTCGCCAATCTAATATCGTTTGGACTGTCTTTACTGCTGGACTGGCTACTATATCTGTTGTTAAGCAGAATCTTAATACGGAGCAGATTGAGATGCTAGATTCTACGATGTCGGATCTAGCTCTGCAGAGACGTTAGTAGTTAGTAACTTGTTGATAACAAATCAGTTTTTTGACTTCTACAGCTAAAACACGATTGATAGGGGGAGACAGACGATATATCCTGACTCTTATACTATCCATTCTCACAAACATCTCATTGCTTCTGAGCAATCTGTGGCCGTACTTGATAAACATTCTAGTGTTTCTTGCGTATCTGAAATGGAATGGGGGAATAGTGTTAGGTACTTACACATTGATACAAATTCGATTTTTCTCGCAACTCTGCAATCGTCTTCACTTCAAGAAGAATGTCTCATTGTGATTCACTGGTGTCAAACGCTTAGGTGATAAAGCCCATCACATCGCATCTATAAACATACCGCAAGTGTTTTACTTTTGTGGATTCTTGGTCTTTTTCGCTGTTCCACTGCTGATTACTCAAGTGAATATGAACGAGCTGAAGAGGTTAGTGCTATGATGTGATTGCTCAATCTGCTTCTGATTTACATCCTTTCTTTGCAGTTTACGAAACCTCCTACGGTTTGCGACATTCTTGCCTGTGGCAATTTATATTATATCTCGATACACGTACGGCTTACTGGTTTACTCCTCGTGTATGTATTCCGAATTCAACGATACTTCAACCAAGTAGTGTGGAACATCCATTTCTTCTAAGTGACAACCGTCACTTTTCATTCTACGTATGGAGATATCTTTGCAGAATGCTTCCTTATGGGCGATATGCTCTCATACCAGCATATTGGATATCGATGTGGAGTGTTCTCTCGTTGTTGAGTAAGAGATCTTGACGAAATCGTCCTGTGTCGTTTTTTTGTTTGGCTCATGTTCTCTCACACTCTTCAATGCTAGATAATTCACAACCACTATTGTTTGTGATTGCGTACATACTCGGAGTCCTCTTGACTTTAACTCCATCTCCACTTTTGGAATTCAGATACTTTATCATACCCTACATATTGTTTCGGCTGCACGTTAACTCACCGACGAGAGCAGCCTCGATGATAGAACTGGTGCTTTTTGGAGCTGTTAATGTGGTTGTGTTGTGGCTTTTCTTGATGAGGCCGTTTGTGTGGGCCAACGAACCAAACGAAGTTCAGAGGTTTATGTGGTGAACTTGTTTCGTTGTTGATCATACTTAGTCTTTTTACACTGTAACTTAATGTACATGGAAACTGTGGTTGGTCTTGTACACATCTTGATGGTTGAATGAATGGATTATTCTCTTCATTTTGTCTCTGTGTTGGAATTGTGGGTGTTTGTGTTTTTGCCGAGGCTTAAAAAAGCTATCCACCGAGTGACATGAATATTAGAGCAGAGTCTCTATACTTTGGATATGAAAACAATCAGGTAGAGGCTTTGGAGGCGTTAAGCATGCTAAGGAATTCGAGATGGCCACTTATTGCCCGTAATCCTTTTGATGATCTTTCTCAAGTTTGGTTTTTCGATGCCACATGGATCGTAATCGAACAAGCCGGTTTTGTTGCATCGCGGAAGGTTAGTTTTGGCTGGAGGTGCCTGTAATATCGGATTCAATCTTTTCGTCAATGCCGTACGAGAGTCTACTTGAGACGAAGCATGTCTGCAGCAGAACCATGAAGCTGTTTTAGGATGCGGCTTTGTCTCCCTGCTTCAAACTTGCAAAACACTCACTCTCATTGCCATTGTGAATCTTCCTTGTTGGAAAGCATTCTGATCCAAATCTCTCTCATATCTTTCAAGGTATGGAATCTGGGGTTAAGGCATGACTGGACAGTGCAGTGCAGCCACATAGCAAGAGGACACCAAGAGACGGGTTATACACATTCGACGGTTGTGGCCGCATCAAGGTAGTAAATCTGTGCATGTGGAAGTGTTTTGTGAAATGTGGATTTTGGAGTCTCGCATTGTGATAACTATCTTTGGGGCAAAGCTTCTTTTAGGGTTTTCCGGAAAACTCATGGAAGACAAGCACCAAATCAGATTCTTGGAAATGTTCGTTTTTGGTATGGACGAAATGGGCGAAGGGGTATGAGCTCGACGAGCGACACATTTCGCACCTTTTCGTCTTTGTCGATTTGGCTGAGTAGAGCTTGGACTTCTGATTTTTCCAACTGAATTTTGTATTTGTAGAAGGATTGTCAATACAGGAAGCAGAACTGGTGCAATCGTGTGCATATGATCCCAACCTTCTTGACTTTCTCTTTAGCTTTCTGTGAACAACATGCAACTGCGATTAAAAATATCCAAAACAAAATAGGATGATTGAAAATAGCGATCCTTTAAACACGCTGACACCAGTTTCTGTCAAATCCCTATCCATTTATTGAGACTATTGAACTGATGTTGGTATAAAACAAGAGACAACCCCAATTCAACAAATGTCCCCTATCTAGATGCATCCTCCTTCAGCATTCTATGATTTGAGCACCACAGCTCCTTCAGTCTCCACATCCAACACCTCAACCTGCGAGTCAATCCCCTTCCCATCAGGCCCCACAGTATTAGCCCAAATCCCCTTGATTACACGTCCAACCTCTTCATGATTCTTAATAGTGATGGCCAGCACACATGGTCCAGCACCACTCATACAGATCCCAATCAGACCAGGACACGATTCCGGATTTAATTCCAGTATTTCAGTTAGACCTGGTACGAGATGAGATCTATATGGTTGATGGATTTTATCCTTCATGGCTTCGTATATTATGGTTGGTTGGATTGGAGTGTTTCCCAGTGCGACGGTTAGGACTGCGAGACGTTGTAGGTTGAAGACGACATCGGCACGAGAGTAGTTTGGTGGGAGGACACTTCGAGCTAGTTTGGTTGCTAGTTCAAAGGATGGGATTACAACCACTGCCTTTGCTTGTTTGGCCCATTTTAGAGGCATGTAAACACCCAAGTTGGGTTGCGGTAGTGGGAATTCTAGTTTCTTTATACTTGTAGTTCCGTTACTATTACTATTGGTTCCATTACTAGCAGCTAAATCCTCACTACTACTCATACACTCGTCAACAGCCTTCGCAGTCTCATCTATACTGGCTCTCATATACCCCGCCGTAAACCCACCAAACATACTAGCAGCGACATTATCAGGATGTCCCTCCACAACCAGCGCAAAGTCCATTAATCGATCTCGCGATAGATTCAATTTACATGCTTCGTTAGCTAGTATGACACCAGCGACAACAGCAGCACCTGATGAGCCCATTCCTCGACCCAGCGGGATTGGATTGTTTATATGTATGATCATATTTGTTGGTAGTGGTGTGTTGTGTGCAAGAGCTACATACATTGCGGTTTTGGTGACCATGTTTTCGGAAGGGAGGAGAGATACACCATCTGCTCGTGATCCCTCATATGTTATCACTATACCACTATTATTATTTGTAATGCTGCTGCTGTTCGTGTTTGATGTTGGTGTGGTTGGTGATGTCGGAGTAGATGCTTTACCACTCTTTGAAGCAGATGTACCGTTCTCGCCACTAGCATTACTACCACTAAAAGTATCACCCTGTATAGTAACAGACACCGTCAAATGCATGGATAAGGCCAAACCGAGAGTGTCAAACCCAGGTCCAATGTTTGCAGCAGATGCTGGCACCTTTATAGTAAACGTTCTCTTTCGAGGAGAGGATCTTGTATTCGATGACATTATAGATTGAGTATTACTAGATGCTGACGTGGCTTGTCCATTCTCGCCATTGTATGGATGTTGTTTCGACGTTGGCGATGACATTGATGACGGGGACTTGGGCATGTTTGCGACTTGATTTGAATGTCCTTCTATCTACAGGATGTCTGCTCTACTGTGCTATTCTTTCTCTCTAGCGTACTGTGAAGCTAGCCCTCTGTGAAAAGTTTGCAAAAAAAAAAACCGCTGAAGGACGAAATCAAATGCCTTTGAGCTTCACGAGGACCTAACACACACGCGATACATAAGCAGACCCTCATTGTTATTCAATCTGTGATTTATTTTTTACGATTCAGTCTTCAAAACACTTCATGAGTCATTCCTAATTGGCCAAATGGCCAACACGCGTCATGATTCCTCAAAGCTTTCCTCAAATCCCTCAAATCACTCCAACTTCCATACCACCAGCCGCCACCAGTCAATTTCGAAACACACAAAGCCTCCTTAAATCACTCCAAGTTCAACAGCCAATTCCATCGCGTCGGCCAACTTGGACGCCTCTTTTGCACCTTCAACCCTGAATCGACTGAAAAGATTTCAATGCAGAAGGAGAGTGAGATTCATGTGCTTGATAAAACTGCCCTATAAGTGCGACTTTTTGCACACCCAAACTCCATAAAGCCATCAAGCACTCACCCAGCAAACGTAAACGTAGGCACACTAGTCGTATCACTCTCATAAGCCATATTGAACTCCTTCGTTACAATATCTTCCGCCTCATTCCCCTTCAAGAACTCGAGTACCTCGGCACTATCCATTCCAAACCGGGGTGCAATGTCAGCCAGTACTTCAGGTTGTCCCACATCCAGCTCTTCAGTGAAATAGGCATGAAAGAGGATCTCCATGATATTATTCGTATCCAGTCCTCTCTTTTCGGCGAGCCACATGAGTCGATGAGCGGTGATTGTCTGCGACATGTTGCCGTCCCATTTGTACTCGAGGCCTTCTTTAGCAGCGAGGGCAGTCATTACTTTAAACATCTAATAGCGATGTTGTTTGAGTTCGGAATCAGTTGTGTTGGTACGGTTGGCTGCTTGGTCGGGCAAACATCCAAACATCACATACCTGTAAAGCCTTCACTTCTCCATACTTGGCAATGTTACGAATCCTTTTAGACACAGGCTTTAACGACAATTGAGGATCCAATAAGAATGGCTTCCTAACAACCAGAGTTGTTTTAGCTTGTGTTCAAAGGTCAATGTTTGATGACAATTTGGCTGACCATGTAATCTTGAATGAGACATCAGGATACTTTTCAACTACTTGCTTCATGGCCGTTTCCAATCTCCTCTTTCCAATATAGCACCTATTTGAAGCAAAAATGAGCGCTTACTCGAAACACCAACTTTGTGCACACAATTACAACACTTTGCACGTAATTACCATGGGCAAATCACATCAGAGACAATGTCAACCGTCAGAATTCGGGACATGTTAAAGCACTGCGGTATAGTCCAAGTAAAGTGCCTGAAGTCGGTGGATTGTGGTGTAGCGAAGTGAACCCTGAATTCAAACATAGCTGCACTCAGGCTGCACCATTGACCTGAGCTAGACGTGGTTTAATAATTGTCGAGATCTGTGCATATAGATTTTATGTTAAAGGTTATATCATGCTTGTGTGATATACAGTATATACAACTGAGTGCTACAGAATTCCAAATTTGTGAAGATTTCAACTCAGTCAAAGAACAACGAGGAGGCTCGACCTTAAATGGCCAAATATGAGATTACTGATATGCCACCACCTCGAATACGGCACTGGATTCCTCTATTCGCCGTAGTCATTATCATCACACCTATAACCATTGTAGCCAGAATGTTGCCATTTTTCGACATGTCAATACTAGAAGATCCACTCCAGTCGGCTGATTCCTATCTTCGGTTTGGACGTGATAACACCTTTAAAATCTTACAACTGTCTGATCTGTATGTGGGCCATTGTCAACATCAAACTCCAAACTTCAACACTTTGATAATTTACTAACACACGTTTCTGTTAGACATTATGGTGAAGCTCCTGACCAACCGTGGGGGCCTGAACAGGACTTTAACACTACGAGGGTCATCAATAAAATGCTAGACTATGAAAATCCTGATTTCACAGTTCTCGTCGGAGACATCGTAACTGGTGAAGGAATACACACACTCCAGGACGCAACTACATACTATCAAATACCACTAAATACCATCTCATCACGAAACTACAAGTTCGCCAGTGTATTCGGCAACCATGATATAGGACCGGCATTTGATCGACACGATTTGATAACAATCGAACGTAATTATTCAACGTCTTATACTAGAGCAGGTCCAAGAACGATTTCTGGAGTCTCGAATTACTGTCTTCCTGTGTATGCATATCAGAGGAGGCTAAAGTGGTGGGAGAAGCTGTATAAATGGGTCAAAAGTACGGCTGATATAGAAGTCGAAAAGCCATCGTGGATGTTGTATTTCATGGATTCAAATGGTGACTCTCATACCCCGAATGCTCCTAATTGGGTGTAAGTTTATGTTGCCACAAAGGTTGAAGACTTGGACCATCCTTGAACTCAGAAACCTGGACCACGCTTAACCCCGTTTCTCGCTATTGCAGGAATGCAAGTCAAGTGGCGTGGCTAAATAAAACAATAACTGATACGAATGTAAAATTTGGTGCTATACCGTCTCTGGTATTCTATCATATACCAGTCTATGAGTATAGAATCACCCTCGAGAAGCACTTCACTGAAGAGTGTAAAGGACTCGTCGCCGAGTGGGACATTGCGTTTCAAAATGGTGATGAGGGATTTTTCAAGTTGCTGTTTGAATCTCGCGTCGTCAAGGTATGTATGTATTCGCTGTGTTATAATAGATTGTGATATGTATGCCTGCTGGACAAACCAAACCAAACGGGCAAAAACAGTCGTAGTTACAACAACGAAATGGATATTGACGCTTCCAAGTTTTGCCCTAGGCTACGTTTACTGGCCACGACCATGGTTCAGGATGGCGCTGCTCGTATTCGCCATATATGAACACTACAGAGGATGATGGCCATCGAGTAGATCTATGTTTTGGTAGGCATACTGGTTATGGTGGGTATTGGCAGCCAAGTTTTGGTGATAGAGGAGCTCGAGGAATATTGCTAAATCGCGATGGCAGTATGAACACGTGGGTCAGATTAGAGAACGGATCTTTAATAGATCCACAGTAGATTGAATTGGTTTAGAATGTGTAGATACTGTATTTGCAACGGTTAGAACAACATACTAATATTATAGAGCATTATGTCCGTAGTGAACTCCTGTGCAGTGTGTGGCGACCAACTGAAAGAGCAATTTCTGAATTAGATTGATTTAATACGCGTAATTGTACTTTCTACTCGTAGTGCCGTGAAGTTTGTCAAGGTTACTGTGTCTTGTCCAGTAAAGACTGTTTTTCTTTTCCTTCACACCCATAGAAAAAAAAACCGATCGCTCGTCAAGCACGACAAACTGAGTGAAAAGGGGACACGAATAAGCAACTCTCATACTAGGATATAGTAATCGGCAACAATGGCAGGAGCCAAGAGGTCCAAGAAGCATGCCAAAGGGCGATTGGATCGCTACTACCAAATGGCAAAGGAGCAAGGTTATCGAGCTCGTTCTGCATTCAAGCTGATTCAACTGAATCGTAAATACAATCTACTCGGTAAAGCTAAATGCTTGGTGGATCTGTGTGCTGCTCCTGGTGGTTGGTATGTCTTCTTCATACTTGAACATTTGTGATGTTTTGTGATCTAAGCTTAACCATCTCTGTTCTCTGACCTTAGGCTACAAGTCGCAAGCAAATATATGCCTAAACCAAGTGTTATTGTTGGTAAATCATTTGAGACTTGCAGGATTCCTGTCGATACACCTGTTCTCCTCCTTTTGTTACTTCAACACACACATTACATTTAGGTGTCGATATAGTTCCCATCAAACCTATACCAGGAGTCATCACTCTCTGTGAAGACATCACCACTGCCAAGTGTAGACAGCAACTGAAGGGGGAACTGAAACAGTGGAAGGCTGACGTGTAAGCATAGCTCAATCAGGAGAATTCCTTCGTTCTTTTGGTGCTCATTTTCCGACCAACTTGTTCTTATTTCTATATTTAGAGTGCTACACGATGGGGCACCAAATGTAGGAACATCATGGCTCCAAGACGCATACACCCAAAATGAACTGGTCCTATCCTCCTTAAAACTCGCTACAGAGTTTATGATGCCACACGGGACATTTATTACCAAAGTATTTAGATCAAAGGACTATAACAAACTATTATGGGTCTTTCATCAACTCTTTAAACAAGTTGATGCTACAAAACCGGCTTCGTCACGTAATGTCTCTGCTGAGATATTCGTTGTGTGTCGTGATTACCTCGCTCCAAAGAAGGTGGATCCAAAGCTTTTGGATGCGAGATTCGTGTTTCAGGAAGGTGAAATTGGAGAGGATGGCGAGCATGAAGAGGATGCAAAGAAAAAGAAGGAGAAACAAGGTGCCTTGTTGAACGATTTGCTCCATCCTGAGGTGAGCTAAGTTATACAAATGGCTATCGCATTTTCGCCTGTTAATGCTTTTCGAAATCTCTCGAAATGTCATTTTGATTTCTTTTGAACGTGTGTATTTAATGATCGTACCCGTCCCTTTTCAACCCTTTAGAAAAAGAAGAGACATCGAGAAGGTTACGCAGACGGTGACTATACGCTTCATCATGTCGAAAAAGTATCGACCTTCATACACGATCGAGATTACGTAGCTGTACTCTCTCGTGCTCATACCTTGGACTTTGAAGCTGATGATGATGGAAGAGCGTAAGTATTCATAAAAACCGGTTGAGCAAACAAACCGATTGCTACTTGAAAATGCTATCCGAGGCGAGATTTTCTCACAGTATCATTAAACATTTAGTCTCGTATCGCATCCTCTTACAACAGATGATATCAGAGCGTCATGCCGTGATTTAAGAGTCCTTGGAAAAAAAGATTTCAAGGACTTGCTGAAATGGAGGCAACATATACGTATCTCTCTCAACTTGGACAAGAAAAAGGAAGTTAAACCCGCTGCCGCAGAGGATGATGAAAGTGGCCTGCCTATGGATGAAGATGCTCTCGCTGAACAGGTAAATCAAGTTATTGGCAGCTCGTTTTTGGTTCCATCTATTTTGGCAAGGACGAAAAAAAGGGGTATCTCGGTCAATAGGATCTGCTCACATTCATTTTCCTTGCATACATAGTTGGGTAAACAAGCTACAGCAATGGAAAAAAAGGCTCGCCGAGAACGTAGAAAAGAATTTGATCGTAAAACCAAACAAGCTAAAAGAATGCAATTGGGAATGTCCGAACCTATGGATATTGGTATAGAAGCATCACAAGATGGTGGTCTTGGCAATGACGTCTTATTCTCCGCTAATGCCATGAGTAATGGTGATGAGGAACATACAGAACAAGATGAAATACTCAAGAGGCGACGTATCATCTTGAAAAGTAAGTGTGAGCGGCTTTTGTGACGTCTTTGGAAAGAATTACTGTTTCTTGGCGCTATTTTTTCAAGTTTCTGTCGTGCTTGTCCTTACCAAGCGTTTTCTCTATTTCGTGACAAAAACAGATATGGCAGCAGATATAAGTGATGATGATGACGAAGACGACCAAGTCTCATCCCACAGTGACTCAGAAGACGGTTACGATTCCGACGTTGAACGGATCTCACGTCTTCGATCCCTCGAAAACGAGATTGAATCACGAACAGAGCATTACGATGCTCTTGAAATAGAACGTAATCCAGCAGCCAAAGTTAAGAAGGACTCTCAGAAAAAGCGTAGTGAAGTCGGATCACAATTCGAGGAATGGTATGGTGTCGAATACGATGCGGAAAAAGCTGCTGCTGAACGGGCAGATATGGGTATTGGTAGTGGTAGTGAGGAGTCAACTGATGACGAATATAGTGATGAGGATGACACTATGGAAGGTGATGATGATAGTGATATGGACGGTGAACCAGCTGATGATGAAGGCCTAGATGCAAACGCGACTAGTGACAGTACATCAAACATCCCAAAACCAACTATACCCAGCATACCCGTCAAACCCGTCAAGCTTTCGAAAAGAGCCCAGCTCTTCTTCGATAATCCGCTCTTTAAAGATGTCCATGCTGATGAAGATGAAGATGTTGATGATAACGAAAAGGAGAATGCAGTAGGAGCATTCGATTCTGAAATGACGTGGCCAGCTTCTTCTGATGATGAAGCAGAAGCCAGTAGTGGCAAAAACATGAAACGGAAGAGAAATCAAGAGTCAAAGAAATCGGATACAAAGAAGAAAAGCAGCAAGAAACAAAAGAAGGGAGATGTCAAAGAAAACAAGGATGGATTTGAGATTGTGCCTGCTGTGGAAATCAAGACTGATGACATCGATGACGGTACGCGACAGCAATCATTTGCTTGTGACAAAGTCTTCGTTGTTGTTGTCCTTGACTTCTCAACTGCAAGTGATTTTTGCTAAACAACAGGATTTTCTTAGGAGAATATGCTATAAATACAGCAGTAGCATATACGATTGCGCAAAAGATGCTCCGACCATCTGGCAAACGTGATTTGATTGATGATGGGTATAATCGATATGCATTCAATGATCGATTAGGATTACCTGACTGGTAAGCACGCCATATAGCGTTTCTTGTCTCGTTTCCTGTCTGATGGTTGAAACCAAAATAATGCAACCGCCAATCGATCAACATGTTGCATCTCAACAAGCCAGCTTACAATTTTCACAATGTCCGCTAGGTTTATAAACGACGAAGAACGCCACAACAAACCCATAACACCACCAACAAAAGAATCCGTCGCCATAATGAAGGCCCGAATGAGAGCTCTAGACGCACGACCAATCAAAAAAGTAGCAGAAGCCAAGTTCCGAAAGACACTACGTGCCGCGCGTCGAATCCAAAAAGCTCAAGCCAAATCTCATGCCATAGAGCTTGACCCTGATATGCCTGAAAAGTCAAAGCTTCAGTCTATATCTGATTTGATGGCCAAAGCTAAGAAAGCTGCCAAGACTGGAGGTGCTGGGTTGACAAAAGCTGGCAAGAAGAAGGATTTACCTAAACTAGTTGTTGCAAAGGGTAGCAATCGGGGTGTGCAAGGAAGGCCTAAGGGAGTTAAAGGTCGTTATAAGGTATGTTGGAACGAGGACAACAAATTAGATGTCTGTATGCATGTGGAGGATTGTTTGTTACTTGTTAACACTTCCTTGACATTCTTTATGATAGATGGTGGATTCAAGAATGAAGAAAGAGCTTCGAGCTGGTAAAAGAGCTCAGAAGGCTAAAGGTGGTAAACGTAGAAAGTGAGGATAGGGATTTTGAGTATGAGTGTGTTGTTGAGTGTTTGAATCCGAATTAGGTGATTGAACGGAGTCAGAGTTTTTTTTTCAAATGTAATATTCCCAAGGCAACAAATACAAAACTCAAGTCACAAAGCCAAGGCCAAGGTCAACCATATCACTTCACAAGGCCCTGTCGTCGTTTTGTTGCTGTGTGATAATGTATGTATTGTGTCTCTTGGAAGGAGGGAAGCGCTGGTACGATTGCAAATTTAAGCAAACCTTGATTGTGGTTCTATTCAATGCTGATGCTGAAAATTAGGGGTAGGGTAATTGTCAGAGTTTTATGTTAGGGATTTGGCCTAACGAAACTCTAAATTTATTCATATATAAGTAGCTATAACATCTCTTGAATAGATGAGAGACCCCTCACCCTCCTCCCAGGGACAGGACTACTGGTTTGGACAGCAATGTTGCTTCCAACTTGTGGGGGTCCTGCATCAGGGCTTCCGACAGCCTTGTTTTGCACTCCTCAGCTCTATGCCTTGACCGGCACAATGATGGTAGCTCGCTTGATGCTCGCTCACCATATGGTTGGTTATACCTTCCTCGCCTTCAACAATCAACAACTTCCCAGACCTCCTCATCAACCTTTAACTGAATCTTCAGCATCTCAACAACTTCGCAACTGTCAACAACAACCAACGCAACCTTCAACATCAGCACAACCTTTAGGCAAAGCAACTGGCGATAGATGCAGTTGGGTCAGCCAATAGCGCTCCTTGGGCTATCGGAATCGTAACTGTCCCAACAATTACCTATGGTTCTTGGTGTACTCAGGGCTGATGGGGTGTATGTATTCTCGTTCCTGAGACGAACGACTACTCTATACTATACAAACTATACAATCTCTTACATGATGCTGATGACACTAACAGAAAAAGGATAAAACTCCCTATGGATGGCAAAGACTCTACTTTCTTCTTTGCCTTTTAATCCATCATCTCTCGTCTCCTCTTACTACTATGACTCTCCACATTACCATCACCTCCACTCTCCGACTGCGTAGTAGCACTCGAAGCACTCTCCTCATTCAATGTCTGCAAACTATTTACATCCTGTGGTCTTCTGGTTTGTTGTGGTGGTTTTCTTGATAATTCATTCCCATCCTGTATATTTGTATGAGGAACACTTGATGCTGATGAGGTAGATGATCGCTTTGGTTGCTGTGGCACGGCAGCTCGATCATACACTAACTGCTGATTCCGCCCAGTAACAAGATGTATCCTGTCAAGTCCATTCCCTGGCATTCGAAGCACAGCTTCTGATGCAGCTTGTCGTTGTTGGTGGGTATATACGGGGACGACATTTGCGTCTAGACGCAACGATAATTCGAGATCGAATGGCCTAAGGAGGAGAAATGTGAGTGTTTCAGAAAAGGAGAGTTGTTTCTGATTTGCGGCCCCTGGTTGCTCTTGTTTTGTTTCGCTTTTTACGCAGCCTTACTGTCCAGGAGCAAGCACAGTTCTCGTCACGTCCTTGAGTAGAGCCATGACTAGTTTCAGACATTGGCGTTCTCGTGTTGAAGCATGGCCAGTGACATCAAATGGTTCCCAAAACATGGGCCGTTCCGCTGCGAACGCCAACACTTCTTCAGACGCCTAGTAGGTCAATAGAAGGATATTAGTAGTGAGCTTATTCGGCGAGCATGTATTCAGAGAAGCGACACAATTCAATGGTCAGATGTCAACCTCTCCAAAAAAAAAAGGTATCGAAGAAGATAAAACAAGAAGCTACCAACTTCCACACAACGCTCATCTGCACAATCACATACATCTTGAGGCATAAAATGATTCAAAAGCAACTGCATCTTTTGTTGCTTGAGCGTCCAGTCATGTTCAGACATGACATATGGTAGTGGCTGATGCAGCCATACACCTTCATCGTCGTCGCCATTTGTATCGTCCTGTTGCTGCTGATGATCCTGGTTGCGTATATGATTCGTATGTACATTGGGTGTGCTGCGAGGGTACTGTTCCTGTTTTAATGGTGGTGCTGCTGAAGACAGTAATGTTGCTGATGGTGGTAGGGATGGCTGATGGATAACACTGTATGGATGATGATGATAATTTGCAGAGACTGGAGTTGGTAGGAAATGATGATGCGGCTGCTGCTGTTGATTGCTATTTTTGTTGCTCGTCGGTATCGTGCTAGCTCCTTGTCTGATTCGTGATGTAGGTAACGACGATGATGGTTGAGCTGGTTCGGCTAGCTCCCGTTGATTAGGAGGCTCGAAAGTTCCCGATGAGTGCATCGCTGTTCCTGCTCTGCCCTCGATGCGATGTGTCATGAAATTATCACATGTGAGATAGTGGCTTCCAACCACTCGAGAACGCGACAGAAAAAACAGATGAAGCAGAGCGATGTGACACTGATTTACAATCAACTTGACAAGAATGTATAATGTATATTATTACTTTGCCACTTGCACTTCTTGGCACTCTACGACCAAACACATTATAATAACTTATACAACCCCCTCTTATGATCCTCCTGCTTCCAGCCATTGCTCGTAATTTTTCCTCCTCTCTTCTTGGTCTTCCTCTGTCTCGTTTCCTGTCGATTTGGCAAACTTTTCCTTGCCATCATACAAGTATGCTTCAACTCGTCGTCCTGCAAAGAACCGTGCATTCATTTTCTATTGGAGATAGAAGAGGAGACAGTATTAGTATGTGTTGTGAAGTCTAACCGGTCTATGGCGATAGACTGGCGTGTCTTTTTTTGGTTCTTACTTGTACACAGGCATCAGCTCCTTCTTGCTCCTTGAAACGAACAGTCAGCACTCCTTCATCAGATTTCTGGTTGTTGTGATGATTAGAAATATGGAAGGTTGTGAGTAGCAAGATTGAGATTGTTTGATAACGAAAACGAGACAAATTCTTAATAGCAAAATAACTGAGCTGCATGGAGACTACAGAAGACACAGCTCTTTCTCGCCCACAACACAAGTGATTAACAATGATCCTTACATCGAACATGATAACATTTGTAACCTCTCCAAACTTTTCACATTCTTCTCGTACTTCAGCCTTCAAATCCAGAATCAATGTCGGATCCTCCTATAAATGGGTGAGAGGGGTAAACAACGGACTCATTACTTGTTCGTAAGCTAAAGTCTTGTGTTCTTGATTGCAAACATACTAAATCACAGTACTACCACTCCTCACCTCCAATTCTTGTTGAGTAAACATGTGTTTCAAGACTACAACTTTACGTAGTTTCTCAGATTTGGCTCCAATCTCGTCTTCAGTCCAATCCAGTTTCCTGTAATAGCATTATGTTGAATTTTTTGGTTGTTTTTAAGCTGAACCTTCATCCTTCCCAGCCCCGCCTGATAAACCAATTCCAACATATACAACATCAATCTCGCCCAACCAAAATCACGAGAGCAGGTATGTGGATGATTACCTTTTCAGCTGATGAAGCTTCTTTTGAGCAACCACCTTGCTTGCCTTTTGATTCCCAGACTTCTTTTCTTGTGGTGGCCTCTCCTTGGGTTGGAAGACGGCCTATAAGAATGTGAGAGGGGTGTTGAGAGCTATACATATGGCGCCGACGATACTTCCAATCCCGAATGCGAATGTTTTTGTCAATAATATCGCTTGCTTCAGGGCAACAGTCGTGCATCCCAGCTTCTCCTTTATTCATTTTCTGACATCATACTCATCCAGTCGTATTCACTCTTACCTCAGCTACATGAACTTTGGACACTTCACCAAACCTGTACTCGCAATCGTCCATTAAATTAATGGCCAACTGTACAGATTCAGGCTTGAAGTATGTAATGAGAGCGTCTCCTTTTAGAACACCCGAGTCGTCCTTGTATAGCTTGATTCGCGGTTGACCTGTAATACGCAAAAAAACGAGTTTGGTACTCCTACTTCTGAAGTCCAAAATTCCAATCACATCAGCACCTACCAGTGGTAATGTCTTCCGCAATGATTCCATATTTACTGAATACTTGTTTGACTTCGTCAGCGTCGGTATTTGGCGGTAGCCCAGTAACGTAGATGGACGTGTTTGCCTTTGGTGGCTGGTCTGGCTTCTTTTTCTTGTTGGCGTCCTTTGATTCCTGTTTGAGATATAGGACTGAAGGTTTCAGCTTTGTTTTAAACGGGTTTGTATGATGCGACCGTGTCGAAATTTGGGTTGAAGCAAAAAAACGAAAGATTGTGGGGTTCAGGATGTGTACCTCGTCCATAGTATACACCTTCCGCTTTTTCGACTTGTTGCTTATGGCAGCCTGTAAGAAAGTGAACCGAGTTAGTAAATGCACAAAAGAAGCAATGTCAAGCTCTCAACTGTTCAAAGTAGGCACCTGTGCGTTTTCAGCAGTTGATGACGGCAGTGAAGATTGGATCATATCATTGTTACCACCATATATAGACTGCTGTTCAGCGACCAGCTTCTCGTCATATCTTGGATACCAGGCCTTTTTTGTTTGATCGTATTCGTAGGAGATTCCATCGTCATTCGTATATATGAAAACCCCAAGCTCATCGACCCACTGAGCGATACTTGCATTGGGTGTGTTTGGGACATCATTAGAAGTAGGAGCAGATGCACCTCGTTGCTCCTCCTCTTCCTCGGGCCGAAACTCATAAGCTTCCATCGTTGAAATTGTTGCTTGTGTTTGATGAAGATGATCACTATAAGAGCAGTTATGAGCTGGAAGCCAATTACTTAATCTGGACGCGTCAAACGCTTGATGGATGCTAGAACTCTATTCAAGGATCCAGTGTTCCTGCATTCACGTGTACATGCTTCGTGATTTTTGACCTGATCGTACTCATTCAAGGCTTCAATCGATAGTTCTTAGGCAATTACACGTGAATAGGGTCTGCCTTGTACTCGAGCAATTGTGTTTGGTCGCTGTTTCTCACCATCAAATTTCTGTTTCAAGGGACAACTGAGTTGAACTTATTGAATAAACAGTTTGGACCCATAGAGCGCTTGTAGGATGCAGGAGGTGTCTATAAAGGCGAGAGCCGTGTTTGAACATCAAATCGTCATAACCAGACCTGGCCAGGTATCAATCGGTTGCTTGGTCGCGAAAAGTGGACCCACACAAATCTTCGTGATGTTCTTGACACTTTCGCAATTGTAGGAACTATATTGGAACTTCAAAACGGTAATTTATATAGGATCTATTCCCGCTCCCAGATTCAATATTCTGCCACAACGTGTTTTGAACTTGCCCGTTTGATTTCGTGAAATTTCAAACTCAACTCAAACCATTCGATACAGGTCAAACACAATGTCAGCTTTGGTCTATTTCTAAAACGAGGATCAACTACCGATCTTGGAAAACTGACTTTGGTTAGTGGAGATCAACACGATATTGGCAAGAGCTACCAAGTTGGTGGTAGTGGCAGTAGCAATGATCATAATAATACTGCTGCTGCTGCTAGTATCACACCGTCTTCCATCCTCACCGACTCGTCTACAAGCCTGCACCGACAACCACAGGCAGCTGTGGCACATTCCTCATACCAACAACACAATAATTCACCACCTCCATCACCATCCCGATTCAAACCACTAGCAAAATCACATTCATTTAGTGCTGGTTCAGCTGAGTCACCTGCTAGACCACGCACCCCTAAACGCCAAAACTCCAAAGTCATGAACCCTGAAATGATGGAGTTGATTGCTGTAAGACTGGTCGAGTCGGGGCGTCATACGATTAGAGGATCTTATCTCGTTACAGAGCCGGGCACTTATATCTTGCTGTTTGATAACTCGTTTAGTATAAACACGAGTAAAAAGTTATTGTTCTTTGTCGCTTTACGGGATGCTGTATTGCCCATTCGTGTCGCCGCTGATGAGAACTTGGAGGGTTGGCTGTTGAAGAAGGGCAATAAGAGATTACAAGGGTATTCCAGACGCTGGGTGAGAATACAATCAGGTGAGCAATGGTGTTGGGAGTGTTCAGCAGGTCGCGAGACAAATTGTTACTTGTGGTCTTCCCATGCTTTGAAGGCAATCGGTCCACCTTCACACAGCTCATTTTTTGCTTTCTCTTAGATGGCATGTTGTCGTATTCGAAAAAGCCAGGCTCTCTAAATCATGGAACTGTAGATTTGGCGAGATGTGCTGTTAGATTAGATCATGATCACCTACTCATTGATATCGGTAAGCTTTTGATCGCAGCAAAAAAGGGTGCACGTGCGATTGAGGACACACTTTAACTCATTCGGTGCTTCCTTTCGTAGACTCTGGAAGCAGTCTATACCACTTCAAAAGCTTATCCCAAGATGAATTTTCAACATGGGTTGCTGCCATTCAGAAATGCCTTCCTCAAAAGCATCCTAGTAATCTTGGAGGTCTCAGTGGTGGAGCTGCTGGAGGTAGCGATACTCGTGGTCTCGGATTGGCAAGTAACGAATCATTATATCAGGCCAATGGAATAGGTGGTTCTTCTACGCCTCCTGAAGAAACCAATATCGAAGGCTGGAAACGACGAATGGACGCCACGCTGGAAGAAATCACTGTAAACATGAAGGCTGTGGAGCTCCTCTTGATGTCTGACAAGGGAGCTAAACATCAAGGTGCGCTAAAAAAACTAGTAGAAATACACGAATTTGCTTACACTAGGCTTTCACTTTTAGATGCAGCAAATACTTTGACTTCTACACTCAAGGCGACAGAAGAATCGATTGTGTCTCTCAAACGAGATGCTGCAGCTGTAGTTACTCAATATCAGTGTAGCAAGACTCGTATTGTCCAACTTGAATCGGCGTTACAGGCAGCACTTAGAGGTGATGTTTGTCCTGTAGTGGCATTTTTTGTCTCACCAACTTCTCACACCATCTCTCAATCTTTCAGATAATAACGAATTGCGAGACAATCTCGGCATACCCCCCATGTCTCCCACCCTATCGCCCGTACAACGAGCCACGGATGGTGATGATGAACGTACCGACTTATTGGGAGAACCAGCACCATCTATACGAGAAGACGTGTTCTTTGATGCTGAAGACCAAGCAGGCATTACAGGTGCTGCTTCCGAATCGGATGAAGATGAATTATATGAAGTGCTGGATGACGATGACGAGGACGAGTCAGAGGAGGAGCAAGAAAAGCAAAGGCCTGACGGGTCTGTTCAAGGTGGCCTAGATGCAAAAAATCTTGGTCTTTGGGGTAGCGATGCTAGTATGGTACAAAGGAGGAGAGTCTTACCTGCTCCACCAGTATCGCTACAGAATCTATCAGTGTTTGGGATTTTGAAGAATAATGTAAGTCCAAAAAAATCGAAATCAAGCCGTTCGCACATCGGCCTCTGTACTGTGGTTTCTCACTTCCTTCAAATTACGTATAGGTTGGCAAGGATCTGTCGACTATATCCATGCCAGTAGCATTCAACGAACCGATAAATCTCTTACAGCACCTCGCCGAAGAGCTCGAATACTGTGAGCTACTGGACCGTGCATCATCAACACCAAACCCAGTCGACCGTCTAGTCCTCATAACAGCATTTGCGATATCCTCAGTAGCATACTCGGCAAACAAGGCGCGTCGAAAACCATTCAACCCTCTACTCGGTGAGACATATGAATGCGTTCGACCTGATAAAGGATTTAGATTCATAAGTGAAAAGGTGTCTCATCATCCTGCTATAATGGCTTGCCATGCCGAGTCGCCCAAGTATGAGTTTACTCAGGACTCGTTAGTCAAGACTAAATTTTGGGGCAAGAGTGTTGAGTTGGTTACCACAGGTGCTATTTCATTGTTGCTGAAGGAATTTGGCGAGAGGTATTCCTGGGGCAAGCCTAATTCCTGCATCAGGAACGTGTTTTCGACGACGGGGAGGTATACTGAACATTATGGTAGTATAACTGTTACAAACCATAAGACAGGTATCCATCGGCACAATGTTTTATCATATTTTTTGGTCCAAGAAAAAGCTGATCTTTATTTTCTCTTGGCATTGTTGTATAAGGTCATTATGTGGACCTCAAATTCAAAGAAGCATCCATGTTTGGGGCAGGGCAGAATGAGATTAGTGGTACCGTTTATGATGCATCTGGTCGTGTTGTTACTTGTATTGGGTAATTCAGATTTTGCACCCTCTTTTTTTTTCTCTTGCTTTGTTTGCTCACAGCATGTGTTTCCTTTTCATTCAGAGGACGATGGGATGAAAACCTATACAAGTTTGACCCATCATCACCAAACGTGGTGGAAATAGTATGGAGACTGAATCCATTCCCACATGATTCGGCAAATAATTATGGATTTACACAGTTTGCTATTGAATTGAATGGTAATGCCTCTTTGGAAACGTTCCCTTTAAGGCTCATCGATCTCACATCACATCACCAACAACAGAACTGACGCCAGACCTCAAAGGTGTCATACCACACACCGATACACGTTACCGTCCTGACCAACTGCTATACGAGGCCGGACGAGCCGAAGAAGCTGATAAAGAAAAGGAGAGACTGGAACAGAAGCAACGAGAGTGGAGGAAGCTGTCCACTACAGATGCTAATGGAAGTCATGTATATAAACCGGAATGGTTTGATGCTGTGGAAGATGAGGAGACGGGAGAGACTGTGTACAAGTTTAATGGACGGTATTGGCAGGAGAGGGGACAGTTTAGGAAGATTCGAGAGTTGTGGTGAAGATTTTCGGGGCCTCATTTGGAGTTGTATAGAGTAAGTAAGGTTGTCATAATACATTATCCACTGGTGATACTAGGCGTGTAAAGTGGTTCGCTGAGTCGAGTTCAGCCTGTCACGTTTGTCCGGGTGTTTGTGGTTGTGAATAATTGACGGATTGGCCCTCATTTTGCAAAAGGGGTCTACTGGACGCACTCAGGTATCGAAATCTATGGCACAATTCCAGAAACTTGCTGTATTGGCTCCAAATCGACGCCTTTGTCATTTACTGCTTAATACCTATGCAACGGGAGTATTATGGAATGAACTGGTATTGCGGAGAGACTAACCCTACTGCTAGTATCCTTGCAATTGCAATGGATTTTTCCTATAGTTTCATCTTCTTACATGACGATGCATTTAACATCTAACATTTAAACATCATTTCTGACTTCGAAAAGTTCTACTCCTTATAGATGAAAACAAATCGTCCAAATGGTCTTGCTCTCAAACTCAAAATCAAAGAAAAAAAGTCGGACTGGCAAAACACCCTACATTCAAGACCATAGCAAACAAACTAAAAAGTAGATTCACATTAAAGCACAAAGAATAGCGCAATATACAAAATCATATCCCCCAATAACTCGTTACAACACTCCCGAAGCAGCAGGTCGATGAACATTAGTCCTCAGATACTTGTCCACATCGACAAATCTCTCACAATAGTCGATTTTACCAGCACAGCAGGATCCCCACATCAGAGCATAGTTATCTTGTCTTTCCTTGATGAATAGATCCACCTCTTCAATAGTGTCCAAAAGTCGTATTATAAAGATATTCTTTTCAATGTCTTCTTCCTGGATGCAGTATTCGTTTGGCTTGTCAAATGAGAACACTTTTATGAAGCCAGAAGTATATGTATTGACCTAAACGAGCGTGAATCAATGACGGTGTTGGTTACATTCACAATATCGTGCGATAGATCATTTGCATTTTGATGTTGTTGGGGGCCAAAATATAAAGAGGGAAGAAGAATCACTGCCGATTGAGATGGTATACGTCTCATGTTCACTTGAACGCACCTCTTTAACCAGTTTGGCTTGTTTTGAGAGTTGTTCCGACAAAGTCGAGTCAATTACAAAGAATCCATCCTATAAATGGTTATGAGTAGGCGAATTGTGATCTTATCGAGCCGAGACAGCATTGGCTTACCTCCTTTAGCTTGGAAACTTGAAGGCCGAGAAGCTCCTCCATAGCTTTGAAATGCGACGATGGTGAACAAGAGTTTGAAGAGGACCACGCACTTCAGCATTCAGACGTCAGAGCCTCTAAGCATTAGCTATACGCGTCGGAAGCCTGTATTAAGCTCTACCACCGCTAACAGGCTATTTTTTAGTGCACAACCGAGTCAATAACACGGGATACGTTACAATCTGAAGAATCTGATCTATAATAATGTGACAAACTACAAATTTATTCCGATTTGGTAGTTTTGGATCGCTCAACCTAGTGAGGCAACCGGAAAACATGTCAGAACTCGTCAAGTCGAAACAATGTGCCACGTGTTGACAACAACAATTTCTCACTAACCTCCTTCCAGTACTCAACAGTTCGTCGAATACCTTCTTCCATAGTGACCGGGGGCTTATACCCCAACCTCTTCTTGGCTTTTTCACAAGAAAAGTAACGATTGCGTGCAAACAGAGTGATTCTGAATACAGTAAACGTAGGGTCAAGCTTTTTGATTGGTCTGAGCACCCAAACGAAAAAGTCGACGATGTAGGCGATGAAGAATGCTATTGGGAATGGGATACGTATTCCCATAGTGTTTTTGTGACCTAGACCGGCCCATAATGCTTTGGGCATATCCCAAAAGAACATTGGTTCATCGTTGGTTATGATGAATACCTAATGCATGAAAGATTTTAAGAGATTAACGAATCTTTGGATTGCAACGGACGCTCTAACTTCTCTTGAGACGACCAAACAAGATGCCCTGCCTTTCTCTATGCTCACCTCTCCAGCAACACCACTAGCCTCCAACTTGTCGGCAGCTAGAATGTGAGCATGAGCTACATTCTCGACATAGGTAAAGTCGAATAGAGTAGAGTTGTCGCCCAACATGAATCCAGTTTGACCACGTTTAGCAGCTTGGACCATTCCATAACTGACTTGAGTGTCTCGTGGACCAAATACACCAGATGGTCGTAAAGCAGTAGTCAGTAGATTTCCTTTGGCGTTAGCAGCTAATACCATGACCTCCGCTTGAGCCTAGATAGGTGGTTGTGTCAGAGAGAGCAAAAGAGGAGATGACATCTCGCGAGATATGTCCAATTCCAACAAGCTGTAAATAACAGCCAAGTACCTTTGTGTCGTTGTAAGCATCCATAGGCACTTCACAGATAGGTACAGTCTCGTCAGCTCCATGCAAGTCGTTTCCGTTGTAGATGACCGAAGCTGAGCTAGTATAGACCAGTTTGCGAACACCTTGTTTGACACAAGCATCAATGACATTCCTGGTTCCATCTACGTTGACCTTCCTATATATGGTGGCATCTGCACCGTGAATAGGCGATGCACAGTGAATGACGACTGATTTTCCTTGACAAGCTTCATTGACATTGTCAATATTGGTAATGTCTCCGATATGGAATTTGGCGTTGGCTAACGAGTAGGATTGTCTTATATCGAATATAGCGACGTTTCGTTCTCCACGGGCTAGCAGAGCTTCGACAATGTATCTTCCCAAAAACCCTCCTCCGCCAACTACCAAATAGTGTTCCTACAAGTTGAATACAGTTAATATAGGGGCATCGTCTGAATACAAGGCCATGACTGTACTTGCCTGAGTTGCCATGACGGACTTGCTGAGCTCTCGTTGGAACCTTGTGTTTGCGATAGTAGGAACGCTCATTTGAGAGGAATTGATGGAATACCTTCAAGCTCTAATTTATTCGGCTGATATCGCGTATAATTCCATGATATATGGATATAGAAACGTGAAGAGCACGTTGAGCTTGGCTGAATAGCTTTGAGTGAAAATTTTGGTTGAAGCATCTCAGATTGATCTTCATCACGTTTAAACTGCAACGGTACAAGTTCGCATCGCGTGCATGTTCATAGTATGATCACACCCTTGGCACACCCTTTCTAAAGTCATGCTCCTGTCATTCTGTGTGCGATGCTCAAGAACCCAAGAAACACATCCAAAATGGAGCTATTCGACAGAGTACAGTCGATAGTCAAGAATGGAAGCCTTGATGAGCTTGCCATGCTTGCCCATATGCATACTCTATTACAGAACGACAAGGTATACTTTGCACTTTAAGCCAGTATGGTGATTTCTTGTGATTACGTGCTGAGTTCAAATTCAAACCAACATACTATATACAACAGGCTCAACTGCTATTCTCCAATCGACTGGACTTGAATCGCTGCCAGAACTTGCTATGGAGAGGATACCACTCAAAGACTCGAAGGCGAAACGAGCTCTGCATCAACATTGCCCAAAAGTGCAAACATGGAGCAACCTCTGCTGATGGACAGGCTTCTTGTCAGTCATTCACCCTGTTTGATGCCAAGGATGAGAACATCCACCATCATATCCATGTGGACTCATTTGCTACTGAGCAAGGTGCTTGTACTTCTGCTGCTCCAAACCATAATCATCACGATGGAACTCGCGCACACCAGGATATAGTTATTCAGACATGCTCCTCGTCATCTCACATGGGTCTGTCACAGGAACATCGTCATCTTCACTTGGATTTGTATTCACCTGTCAATGTGGGTGCTGTTTATTCTGCAATTGCGCACTCTGTCAAGTTGGCTCAAACCCCATCGTTATTCATTCGAATAGGATGATCAATCTCCCGTGCTCTTCAATCCAGAGCAGTATATGCAGTATCTTCTAGATCCATGCCTACTCAACATCCCCGAAATTCCAGTATGTGAACTGGACACATGTCCCAGTCTGACACATGTGAAACAACCAAACACAAACATTACTATACCTACATACTACTATGATACACCACCAATTAGTAACAGTACAAGTAGTAGTAGCGGTAGTATAAATCATAGCATTAGTGCTCAGCCACTGCAACTGCCATATCATCCAATTGTCCAACCGCCGATATTCAACCTTCCTCTTCCGCCCACTTGCAACAATCATCAGCAGAATCTGGACAACCACAATCATCAGTATCAGGTTGATGATCAGCAACAGCACGATCAAATGCAACAAAATGGTGGATTGAGCAAAACACCTCGAATCCCTCGAATGCATTATCACGTACGAAATGATAACGGAACGTCGGTGTTATGCTGCTTTAACTGTGGGACATCCTCTACACCAGTTTGGAGACGTGATCCTGAAGGGAATGTGGTTTGCAATGCTTGCAATCTATTGTCAGTAATGATTTTCTCTAAATGCACTGATTCAATTCTTAATTGTCATGAGTTTTGATATGTGATTCTGACACTGATGCTGCCCTTCTTTGTAGTGAAAAGAATAACGGGAAAAAGAGGCCTCCTGAACTCAAACAAAATAGTGTCAAGCGCAGGAAACGTGCTCTCAAGACTAAGGAGAGCGAAGGATCCGAATAAAGGGTTAGTGTGTCTGAAATGGTTGCTACTTCCCCGCTCCTGTATCAAATAAATTGTACTATAATAAATTTCGATTCTTGTACTTCAGCTGATATTGGCCGAAACTTGCGAAAAAATGAAATCCATCTTGGCATGAAACCAGAACTCTTGTTTCGTAAACTTCAGTTCTAAATGAAAGAGAATGCATTGTTTATTCTTAGACCGTTGCATAACGGTTATAAACTTATAGGGTGCAATTTCATGCGTGTCATCATGATGCAATGATACTCCTAACAGCATTAGCAATTTCTCTAAACTTCAATTCATCGGCCCCAGCAGATCTTGGTGCCAATGAAGTAATTTGAGAGGATGCTTCCAATGCTTTAGCTGCACTCTTTCCTTCACTACTGTTATATGCCTAAGGAGCAGGAAAATATGCGTTTCAGTGTTTGGCTCACACGAACAGTCTCTGTAAACGGCGATTCATAACACGTACCAGAGTTCCAAGAGCTGCAAGTCCACGTAATGTTGATTCTGAATCATTGTCAGCAATCAAGAACTACAAGAGTGGAGAGGAGTTGTGTTTCAGAAACAAAGTGTAATAATAACAAAAAGATCCTGTGGTGACACACAACAGTTCTCACTTCGAGAATCAGTGCCACCATATCAATAGCCAAAGACTCATCCGGTAATTCTGCAGCATGTATACTAGCACTATTTGATTTGCACAATAAAGTGTCAGAATTCACATTCCGTTTCGTTGGTAACATATAAGGTCGTAACATGAGAAGCGAGACATACTTGAGCAAAACAGTAGCAAACGCCAACCTCAAATTCTTGTTTACACTTCCACGCCAAGACTCTTTGATGGCTCCAAATATCTGAAGAGGAGAAAAAAAAATTGAGTTCTTGCAATACCGATCGTTGACCATTCACGCTTGATTTGCCACACATACCTGTTGTCGTGTACTTGCAATAACCTTTCGTCCAGCAGGGTGTAAATATATGTTGGCCAAAGCCCGTAGTGCTAGCATCAGATTCGTTTCTTCTTCTTTAGACAATTGAGGTCCTGGAGGACACAGAGAGAGAAGTTTTTGAATAAAGGTAGCCCCATGTGTCAGGATTGGTTGTGCCGAATATGCAAGGCACAGTCGTAAAAGGTCGACAGCTAAAATGTCGCAAAAAAAGATTGTTTGTCAAGTGGCAAAGAACCCAATGAAGGTCAAACGTCGAAGGGCATACCTGGAAATCGTTTGTTAAGTGGCCATTCAAAGGCCATTTTTTCCACAACTCCCATATCCTCAACAGTGAATGCTACAGTGCTGTTGGTTGCTCCCGCACTCTCCAGTAAGGTGCAAACACGAGCCAGAATGGTCAACGATGAAGTGTCCAGTTGGAGAGCCTAACATGGATGGGGTTAGGAGACGTTTTCTTTTACGGTGCGAAAACTAGTTTGAAGTTACAGGAGTGGCTGACAATTCATTGTTGAATTGCTGTATCTTGGAACGAATAGCTGAAATATTTGCGGCCTTGAAACTTGCATATTCCTTCTGAAAGTCACCATAAAACGTGTGAATAACAACAAAAGTCGACAAACATACATGGAGAAAGGACTAGCTTGCCTGCGGTACTAACGACGAAGTGGCTACAGCAGCCTTTCCTTTTGACGAATTTATTGAGGATGATGTTGTTGGGGCAGCCTAAAAGAAGGTCGAACGAACTGTGAAATTTGATGCCATCCTAGTTGACATCGACAAAGGATGATAGTCGTACCTGCGAGTTTTGGCCTGGAACGTATCTCCCACCACCTGCAAGCAACCACATTCAGACACACAACATGCGACCTGCAAAAAAACCAGCCTTTGGTCGAGATATACCTGTGTAGGGATCCGAAGGTCCAGAATCAGTTCCAATTTCGACTCCTTTGGCATTCTGTATAATAAATTGAGCAATTTGATCCAAGAAGTTTGGCGATAATTCGTTCGTTTCCAAGAATTGTTGTGCAGCGAAATATGGATTTTCTGTGGATGTGAGCCAAAATGATGTTAAGACGATTACTGTGTGCTACCACTACCCGTAATTATACTTACCAGAAGCATTGTATGGTAGCTTCAAGGGTGGCATACCCTCTCCAATATCAACATCGAATACGAAATCGTATTCCCGACCATTAAATATCTTTTTACGTTCTGATCCTATAGCGTCTACTACTTCTCCTACTTTCGTCCATTGACTTGAGGTTTGTTCCCACTAACATGGCGGGTGATTAGCAATCCCTTTTACATGAAAGCGTCGTTTCTTTATAGAGCAAAGACCTACTTGATGTGCTTCAACCACATTTCCGTTTCGAATCATTATGACATCTCCATCCTTCTTGCCTAAGATAAGATACAGAGCTGAGTAAATATACAGCGAATCGCTCCTTGAAACGGTCACTCGACATACCTGATTTACTGAGAGCCTCTACCCCAGGCAACTTGTCCTTATTGACATCACCAACTTGATTTCTAGAGGATACATGACATTTGAAAAGCTGCTCTATCAAGCGTTATCACAAAGCAAACCTACGAAGGTATGGCCTGATTGGCAACAGCCTCATTAAAGTCCTAAAAAGTGATAAATTAGAAAGTAGCAAAAAACGGACGTGTTGCGTATTTTCTGTACCTTAATGGTTTCAGCATCCGCCAACGCTTCAGACCTTCTCGAGAATACACGTACGAGTGCGTCACTACCTCCAGTAACAATATCGCCATCTGGCAGAGCAGCAACACTCCAAACAGACGTGCACGGGTGTGTGATAGTCTGCACAAGGTCTCCTCCTACACATAAAGAGGATCATTAGCCTACCACTGCTAGACCTCCATCTACCATATACTGATGTACAAAGGTGTGGTTTTTGGTGCACCGTACATCACAGTCAAAAGATTCAAACTGTAACGCTTACCCTTCCAGACTCGTACGGTTCGATCTTCACCACTAGAGACTATCTCTCCGGTTGGCAAGACCGCCACAGAGTATACAAAAGCAGTATGGCCGTATAGCTCTTGCACACACTGGCCATCCATATTCCATATCCTGACGGTTCTAATAATTTAAAATTCTGTCAATCCCGGTTTTTTCTTACTCTGGTTTTTGTACCTTTGAATACTCACGCGTCATTGGCAGCAGATATAAATTGACCAGTTTGGGAGATCCATCCTAGACTTCTAACTGCATCTGTATGTCCGTTATACGTTTGGACATTGCGACCATTACGCCATAACTTTATTGTCTTGTCAGCAGAGCCTATGAAAAGATAAGGATGTAAGATGAAGGAGGACTGGCACAAAAAGCAAATGATTCTTGTTACCAGTCAAGACAGTATCTTGCCCTGCAGATAATACAGCCCATACAGATGCTTCATGGCCTTCCAGAGTGTGGAGGCAATTCCAGTCCCTCCATATTTTGGCAGTTCTGAAGGAAAGACTTGTGAGCTCTTGTCCAAGGACACCAAATCGACTTGTAGGGCTTACTTGTCCCACGATCCAGATATGATGTCACCATTGGCAGCTACAGTCAAAGCACACACATTCTCAGTGTGTCCTATGAGCATGTACGCAGGCTGATCTCCAGGAATGAGAGGATCAGCAGCGTGTATTATCTTGTCCTGTCCACCTGAAATGACCAATCCTTTTAAAAGAAAAAAGGACAGAAAATCAGTTGATACAGTCCGATAATATCAATCTTTTTAACTTTGTAATTACCTTGAGGGTGAGAAGCAGAAGGTGGCAAGATCGCAACGGCATTCACGAACTTGATGTCGTGACTTCTGATGACATTGACCGAATCCCACTTGGAAGCACCGTCCGTACGTGTCCATGTAATGACTGACGCGTCTCGGGATGCTGAACATATCATGCCTGCTCCTCCTGATGCTACAGCGCGAACCTTTATGTGTGCAAATTAAATGTCAGAAATGGCTGCTTTTAAACAATAACGAGGAATGTAAAGTAATAGGAAATCATTTTGCTTACATCTTGACTATGTCCTGCTAATGAGGCACTCAATTGGAAGGCCCCACTCATGTTACGAGGTTTGGTTTTTCTGAGTTTTTGAAGTTTTGAAGTTTTGTGAAGTGCGTACGTCTTGGTTTGAAAACAGGTTACTCGCCAATATGCCCGTCTTATTAAGTATTTTTCCACTATTTAAATCAGTTATTTACGCGTCTAGAGAGTTACAAATATGAAAAATATTCAGACTGGCAAAGAAGCAAACAAGACCAAAAGTTAAATCATTCAAACGAAATCAGCAACTTTTTTTCTGCAACAAGGTCTCCAACACTGTAATGGACCTTCTTAATCACACCAGCTTCAGGTGCCTTCATTACATGCTAAACCGAAAAAGGAGGTTGTTAATACAGTACCTGGCACGCGCTTGGAAAGGCACGGCAACAAACACTCTGACTAGTTACAACCAACAGCTTACCTCCATCTTCATAGCCTCAAGAATCACAAGAGTCTGTCCCTTCTCAACCTTTTGCCCAACTTTAACAGAAACAGATGATATTTTACAAGGCATGGGTGTTCGGACATCACTAGCACCTCCTATGCTAGCTGCGTGAGTTAAATATGTCGGTAATGGTTTGGTGATGGTGTAGTTGACTCCCTACAAAGTGTGACAAGGGAAGGAATGATTGAGAATCAAAAAGAGAACTGCCGGGGAAACCCCCCCTCCAACACACGCAAACCGCGAGAATGACATTTTAACTCACATCTTGAAACACATGACACGTTTCTCCATCAATATTACGTTCCCAAACAACGTTTCCTCGCACTTTACGTCCACCAACATCAGCTACCACTTCAATTGCATCTGAAGATGAAAAGACATCCATGCCTTTCCAATTCAGAGTGACTGAATCATATCGAGTAACAGCACCTGTACCATCCGTTACGGTCATGGATAGTGTGTCTGGTGATATGTACTCAACAACCACATTGCATGTCTTTGAGTTGTCGATGAAGGTTATTGTTGTCGACATGGCGTGGTTTAGACGAAATGCGATTTGATTCCATGGTGAATAGTAATCTTACAAGATATTGCTTGTTAGAGGACACAAAGGGAGAGTTTTTCTGCTTGATCAACAAGTCCTTTACCTTGAGACAATCTAGCTTCCTTCTGAGATGCTCGGAGCTGCTTGATTAAGATTGAAAGGGCAGCTTGAGCAATCACGAGAGGTGGTAATGGCGACGGTGGTGGGAACAAGTCTGCCTCACGTTTCTGCCGGATGAAGAAGGTCAGGATGAAAACCAAGTCACTTTAAGCAAGCGGAGAATGCTTTCAAACCTTTATAAATCCTGTCTCAACATCAGCATCAACGAACCCCTGATTCCCAGCCAAAGCCTTCAAGAATTCAATATTGGTCTTCAGACCAACAACTTCAAATTCTCCTAAAGCCTTCCTCAAGACCCGTAATGCTGCAGTACGATCCTCACCATGAACTACCAGTTTCGATATCATGGGATCGTAATAGACTGAAACCGCGTCTCCTTCTCGGACACCAGTCTCTATACGAATAGATGGTGATGCTACAGGTGTTTTCAAATGCAGTAATGGTCCAGTATCAGGTAAGAAATTACTACATGAGGAGCAGAGTTAGACAAAAACAGTGCAGATATTAAAGATGGAGGATGTTTTCGGTTACTTGTTTGGGTTTTCAGCATATATACGAGCTTCAAAAGCATGTCCGTTTAATGCAAGCTGGTGCTGAAGCAGAGGTAATGGATTTCCAGCTGCGACCTATACGAATTCATGCGTGATTTGGTAAGGTCTTGTTTTGCGAGTCGTTCCCCTCCAAAGATACAGCACTCATTTACCTCTAGTTGCCAATGAACCAGATCCGTCCCAGTCACCATTTCAGTGACTGGATGCTCGACTTGTAATCGAGTATTCATCTCCATAAAGTAAAACTTGTTTGTTGTCGTGTCTGCAAAACAACCGGATGAGGGATCTCGTTCAACTTTGCGTCTTCAACTCACTGTCGCTATACCTAGGATGAATTCCACGGTTCCTGCTCCGACGTATTTCACTGCTCGAGCAGCTGCTACGGCCTTGTTTCCCAAATCTTCTCGTAGGGCTTGTGTTAGACCAGGCTAAAATAGGACTATGAAATGAGTACGAGAAAAAAATCGGGCGTGGCCGTGTCCCATACTCACCGCTGGAGCTTCTTCTAAGATCTTTTGGTGTCTACGTTGCACTGAGCAGTCTCTTTCAAACAGATAAACTGCATTCCCAAGTTTATCAGCAAACACTTGAACTTCAACATGCCTGTGAATGGAAAATTAGCTGTCAGTCGGGATCGTTGGGTCTATGAGTTGTGGCTTCCAACTAGTAGTACCTGGGTCGTACTAAATATTTCTCTACCAAAACTTTGGTGTCTCCAAATGACTTTTGTGCTTCGCGTCGGGATGATTCCAGCATGGCTTCAAAGTCCTAAAGGACAAGAACGACACAGAGTCACTATCAAAGTAGCAGAGTTTTGACCTCCACGGCATACCTCTGGCTTGTCAACTATACGCATTCCCTAAATTGTCGAAACAATGTGACTTTTTATGTCATCAGCGGCCAGCAACTGCTTTTCGCACCTTTCCTCCACCACCCATAATAGCCTTGATCAATACAGGATATCCAATAACATCAGCCTGTTTCTTCAAATAATCTACACCTTGCTCTTCACCATGGTATCCAGGAACGACTGGTACACCAGCGTTCGTCATGATGATTTTTGAAGCACTGGTTCAAGTAACATGTCAGATTCATGATCTTCATTTGGATCCCAATATCAATTGAACTATAGCATACCTCTTGGAACCCATTGCAATTATAGCGTCAACAGGAGGCCCAATAAAAGTAAGTCCAGCTTTTGTGACTTGATCCGCAAACGTGGCATTTTCGGATAAGAAGCCATAGCCAGGGTGTATAGCTTGTGCTCCAGAGTCTTTTGCGATCTGTATGATCTTGTCTGCTCGTAAGTAGGATTCAGACGACGGGGGTGGTCCAATCAAGTATGCCTCATCGGCCTAAGTTAATTACAAAAGAATATCAGAAAATTACACCAACTCAAAGATGTAAACGCGTACCATTTGGACATGCATTGCATTCTTGTCAGCCTCACTATAAACAGCAACAGTTTTGATACCCAATTTCACGGCCGTTCTTTCTACACGACAAGCGATTTCTCCTCGATTTGCAATGAGAATCTTGTCAAATAGAGGCTTCCTGGATGCATCTAAATATTACAACAAATCATGAAATTCAGTACACATTCAACAAAAACGTGAATTGACCAAACAGAAATTCCGTCCGAATATTACTGGTGCTTACTAGTAGATAGTCGTCGAGACTTATTCAGAGAGACGAGGATCCTTACTTGTCTTCGTAACATTCTTTCTTCCACGTCTCTGTAAGTTGTGAAGTTTGGATTTGCAGAACGTTCACGTAGAGGTACTTTTCAGTGAATATTGAATATTGAGCTTGAACTGAAGGTCATTTATTCACGTGTATTCTCTTCATATTCGCGTCAATTTAATGGACTACCTGCTGAATATTCTGAATATAGGAAGTACCTCTCAAGCATCATTTGACGATACTTTGGTCGTCGAATTTTCACACGCATATGGATACCACTCGCCGCACATTAATACATGTCGAGCTATAATAGCTCGACGTGAAAGGCCTAAGGTCTGAGTGTCAAGCCCTCCCTTCCAACACTTGGGACATTGAACTATGAGGAAGTATTGTACCAGACGGTCGCCCCCATCAGCTGCATGGGATAACCTCTTTCGACCGTGTTTCAACCCCACAATTTCAGTTGCTCACTACAAGAGATGTGTAGGCAATATTGCTTGTTGCTTTAGACCCGAGTATGAATCTCTTTTCAAAATTTTGCTATGCACAACGACCTCAAAAGACTCGCAAGCAACGAAATCCACCATTTCCGATCTGGTAATGGTAGAACCAGGAATTTATTGTCTTCGTGAACTCTTTTTTTTTTCAAACTAGAAAATTCTTGGTATGAATCATAATGTGCAAGGTCTCTCCCCCTTCCTTCCATTTTTAGTGTGATTCTAATGAACACCCAACTCGTTTATTATGCATAGTTGCCAATAAATGCCATAAGCCCAGCTCCCAACCACATACTTGCAAACATGATTGATTTTCTGAGGGTAGATTGTTGTCTAAACACTGAGTTGTGGTTCATTTCTACGGAAATCAATTCGACATATACCTGAGTGGAAGCGAAGAAAGAGCTTTGTTAGATTTGAGATATCATCAACCGACAAAGACGGCATTAAAGTGCTACGATGACTTACGTTGTATATCAAGACTCCAGCTCTACAAGGAATGTTGGAGATAGTGTATTAACAGTTGGACGTGATGGAAATAGCTCATCGAGCTGTGACAAACTGAGATGTAGGAAACGAGACACTTACGATAACGAATCAAAAATTCCTTGAGTGAGAATGATGGCTTGAGAATTCTCATTGAATGTCGACCGTATTCCGATCCCAATTGCGGTACCTATGTCATTCCAACAAGAAAATATGTAAGCACAAAAAGGTCAACGAATGTGGTTTATCTATGCGAAAGCAAGGCTCAGCTTCATTGCTTCACACAAACATACCAAGTGGCGTAGTCAAAGGATATGCAATCCCATAAACAAACACCTTTCTCCAGAAAGATGTCTGCAATTCAGCAATACGGGTCCCCAATGCCATCCCTTCAAACATTTGATGAAAGGCTAGTGCGATGAGCAACGTGTTGAATTCAGATGTGGCGGTTCCCAAAGCAAGTCCAATAATGACAGAGTGGAAGATGATGCCGGCCTAAACGAAAGAATCAATGCAGTCAGTCATGGCACGTTTTCTTCACAAGAGAACAAAACACTTGAACCATTACCTCAAGCAGAACGGTGCTGAGATCTCTCAGGACGATTTCTTCACCGTGCACATGGCCAGTAACGTCCACCAGTTTCACATCAGCGACCAGTTGATCCGATACATGTAGGCGTGTAGTTGACTGAGTTTCGATATCAATGGCTTTGTGACTATGCTGGTCTTTGATTCTCTTGTCTTGTTTCGAAATCGCTACAAACTGGGTCGTGAAGAAGAGACGTGTCAGCTAAACGTTCGAATAGGTGATACGAATAACTGCCGTTCGTGGATGAATAAAGTGCTCGATCCTGTTTTTACCTCGACCAGTTGAACGATGAAAGCTGCCAATAGACCAAAAGCTCCAACCCAGTTTCTAGCAAAAGCAAACGTCCGTGAATACAGAGCCCTTCATGAATCCCATGAAGAAGAAAAATCATACCCGCCATAAATGGTCCACCATCCTTCAAGACATGGTGACGTGAATTGACCAAATGCGCCTGGTAGCATGTGTATCCAAGCAGTAGCGACTATAAAAACGAGTAATGCATTAGGAAAGTAAAATGAAGCACCTTTTCAAACACAAGGTACAAACGAAACGAACCAAAAAATGACAAGAGGCGCAAATGCCGTACCAATGACACCAGCTCCAAAGAACTTGATGATTTGCAATAGCAGCAATACGTTAGGATTGTTCTGCAACTTGGAGCTTCCAAGAGCAATAGTTCCATATATTCCCAGAGACGAGACGGCGAAAAGAATAAAGATGCCAGCAATGTGGATTGGAAGGTCGTAATCATCTGAAGCTTCAGCAGCACAAATCTAAATGAGTGGAAGTGCGAGAATATGAGTTCATCATGCTTGATTCTTAGCGGATTTAACCATGAAATTCATTGTTACGTCTGCTACTGCTGAAATGTTTGAGCTGTCATCGCCTGAACGTTGAGAAAAGGAGGGTGTTGTTAATATGCAATCGGTGGTGTTTAGAAGCAGATTACTGGATATCACGATACAGTATGACGGATCTCTTTTTTGCACTTACGTTGGAGGATCGCATGTACATGATTATGACGTCCAGGTGAATGAGCATTTGCAAATGTAGCAAACCCCAACAGCATGGTAGAAAAGATGGCTCCTCTAATCATTTTTGGTAGATTTGGCACTAGTCGAATATGAAGTATGTGTTGACAAGCTAGATCAACCGCTGAATTAAAGAATGGTCGAAAATCACAAAGTGATTGTGATTTCAAAATAGTGATTGTCACACGGATTTTTTCTGAGACGTGATATCGGGTGATTACGGCAAATTCCCTCTTGTTCAAGGAACCACTTGGACAACAATTATGAAAATCATCGCATGTATAGTGTGCCTTCTCGCCAAATCTCAGATTGAAGATTGACACGCAGAGGAATCGGCTCTGAAAATTTCATTTGGATACAAGAGCAAAGGTCGAACTTCTGTTCACTCGATTTATTTGGGTTGCTTGTCAACAAACATTTGGTCGAAATCTCCCCAAACACAACCACCATTTACAAAGTGGTTTAATCTATATTCAAGCTGTTACGAAAGGTCCTTCCCGCGCCCACAACGACGCAGAGCCGTCATTAATGATTTTTTAGTCTCTGCAGTTATCATCATTGGGTCAGCACTACTGGTCTGCTGGTTTGGGCAGCAATGTCCCTTCCAACTCGTGGGGGTCCTGCATCCGGGCTGCCTACAGCCTTGTTTTACATTCCTCAGCTCTATTCCCTGACCGGCAAATTGATGGTAGCTGCTCGCTCACCATATGGTGGTTTATACCTCCCTCGCCCCTTCAATAAATCAGCAGCTTTCCAGCACTCCTCATCAACCTCCCAACCTCCAACTCAAGCTTCAACATCTCAACATCAACGCAACCTTCAACATCAACGCAAACTTTAGGCAAAGGGCCTGGCAATAGATGCAGTCGGGTCAGCCAATAGCACTCCTTGGGCTATTGGAATAGTAACTTTCTCAACAGTTACTATTGGTGGGTCTCTCTTCCTAAAACAGTGCCAGTCAATGGATGTCGCTGTCCTTAAGAACTGTTGTCTGGTTCAGGTGTCGTCTGAATGGTGGTAGAATTGGAGCAGTGAGTGCTGATGTAGGATTCTGATATCAAATTAATGTACTAACTACACTAACACTATATTCTTATAAAGCTTCTCTTTCTGTACTTGGACAGTTGGACACTTGGGAGCAAGACACAGACGCACATTGCAATAGCGAAGATTGCTGTCGGCTGCGATTCGTGATACTTTTGACGTCCATGCCTATGGCACTGCGGTACATTGATGTGTTTTCGCCAACATCTATCGAAAAGACGCGAACTTAAGGAGCACAATAGACAGCAGTTAAAGGCAATATCCCAGCACTTCAAAATGGATGTTTTTCTACCTGATAAGTTGCTGAAACATGTCAATCGGTGGTCAAATACTCAAGTTTTTACTGCCCAAACAGAGTTCACAGTGTGCTGGCCAGTAGTAAAAGAGACAGGCTTTCTTTCTGAAGAGATTTGCATTGTGTACACCTCCTCCACTTCTGCTCCTTAGACGTCTAATAGCACTGCTATAGGGCGAACTAGCTATGGCATTGGAAGGTTTACTGAAATTGCTTGATATGCTGCGTCGATGAGGTGATCTTTAGACAAATTGATACCAATGGGAGTATCATTGCATCCTGAACAAACCACGATGGAAATGACACTCCTCTTACCGACACAATGTTTGTTTCGTCTGCAAATTGCAACGTTTTGATTTAAGCAAAGACATCTTTTTAATAAGTTTACAAACAAAGGTTATTCTTATTGAATGTCCAAACACCTTTCTCTCATTCTATACCTCTGGTTTCGACTTTTTTTTTGCAAAAAAACAGCATGCATTCTTCTACGATTATACCTTTTTACACCATCAGACCTATTAATCCTAACGACGATCATAATCACGTTGAGTACGTTCCTCATACTCACGTCGATCGGCTTCACGATGGTCTTGCTGTGGAGGCCGTTCGTCACGGTATCGGCTACCCGTTCCTTGGTAATAGTCACCTCCTCCTCGTCGTCCACCACCATCATAGTCGTCTCGTCGATATGAGTCGCGACCACGATGAGCATATGGATCATGGTACGAGTCTCGGTAGCTGTCGTGGGACCTTCGATCATCTCTGCGGTCGTCTCGGCGATCGTCTCGTCGCGAATATGGATCAGGGCGATATTGGTCTATGGCTGGTAGCCCATACGATTGGTGATGTGACGATGGGCCTCTTGAACCTCGATACGATTGACCGCGGTGATCATCTCGACCGACTGATAAATGTTAAAGAGTGAGATGCTTGGTGAGTGTTGGAAGTCTTGTTCATCAACACAAGACCAGACACAACACTGATAAACAAAGACTCGTGCAGTTCGACAAACATTACCTTTGCTTCCGAAGTAACGACCAGGTGTCGGAGTCCTTGGACGAGCTCGCCTAGCGACTTCGACCTTCATGAACTTTCCTTGATGATTTGTTCCATTCATAGCTTTTATGGCTGCTTCTGCTCCTTCGACATCCTCAAAAGTGATGAAAGCAAAGCCTCGAGATTCCTGTCAGAAAGAAAACAAATTTGGTGAGACTGCTGTTCTGGGGAGAAAAGCCCCCCGATCAAACTTGATCAGCATCACATTCTTTTTGGTATAATGGACGACTACAAACCACAGGTCTACAATATGGCAGCAGTTTCCATTGATACTTACAGCTGTATGAGGATCACGAACAACTTCCAAGCTTTCAATCCTTCCAAAGTTCTTGAAGAGTTCTCTGAGATCTTCGTTTTTGAGAGCTGTTGATAACCCGGATACATGAAGATTGTTTCCTGGGTTTGATTTGGCTTCGGCACTATTCAAATGAAAGAATAAAAATCTGTTGTCATGTCGAATCTAAGCAGACACACAAAGCCAAGCAAAGGCAATAATGCGATGACATACCGTCCACGAGATGATCCATTTGTGTCTGTTTCGCCTCCTCCTGCACCATTATTTGCATTCTGTATAGAGTTTTCATCGTGTTCCTTGGATCTGCCGTCATCTTGGATACGATCAAAATCACGGTCGCGTTCTCGTTCACGCTCTCTTTCATTGGATTCCTCGTCACGATGCGGGCCAGGTGATCTTTCACGTTCTGCTTGTAGATAATCCGAGTCCAAGTTGATGAAGAGCAAAAAATGAATTTGTTGAAGAGGTGAATGATGGTTGTTGATTAGTTCAAGTTGTTGATCAGTTGTAATGTTAAATGTTGAAATGCGATTGCTGATAATTGTTGATGATTATTGTAGCGGGAATTGTTGAATGTTGTTGAAATGTTGTTTTTTTGATGTCGACGTTGAATTAGATGTCCCATGCTTTTGAAGACATGTTGAAGTGAGCGACTGCTGATTGCTTGAAATCAAGTAGCAAAATATCAACTGGCAGCACTTATTGTCCCATTCTCCAATTTACAATAAGCACATTCTCCATTGTCTTCAATTTTAAACAACTTCCCCAAAGACGATTGAAATCTGAATTGCTGCTGAAACGGAAACAGGTACCTTCGTAGTTGGTTTGGAAGCTATCGCCTTCCATTTTCATTTGCTTGCTAGTCTTTGTCTTCGTTAGAATTACGGCAAGCTGCTTGAAAACGAGGTGTGAAAATGAGAATGTTGTTGGAGGGCAGGTTGGGAATCTGAACGCGGCGGCCATGTGAAAATTTTCATTGAACATGTAATATCGTCTACTGCAGTATCTCATTCCCGCCAACCTTTTATGAGAAACCCGTGAAATCACTCATCATCGTCTCTAAGGCGCTCAACACAGCATTATGACACAGCCATAGCTACTTGGAGCCCAGAATTGCTTGGCCAGCTTTCATTTCAACAGATTATGAACAATCGTATTTCTTTGCAAGGCTTTCTCTGGGTGCTTTCTCAATAAACTGCTGTTAACGGAACCGGAGCCATAGAAGAAAAGTTATCGTAATGTCAACTGTAACAATTTAGTTCTGCTTGAGCTACGATCGAGATGAATTCGCCTCTCGGAATTGCTTATTGCGATTACGGTCGCCTTCATATGAAGCTTTGAGCACTCTAAAGAATCGCCACACTTTACCATCACAGACACCTGCTGGAAGTGTACATGGCATGGCTGCTTCATCGATATTTTCTACTGGCAACCTTCCACCTCTAAAACCTCCTTCATCCTTCTCGAATAAGAAGAGTGTTCCTCACACTCTTGCAGACAGTGGTGTCGCCCTGTGTCTCTGCAAAAATACCACCCATCTCCCAAACTGGCATTATGTGGACTATCAAAACATACACCTCAACATGCAAAGAGGCTCGAAGCGTGACACACCAACACTTAAATGTCAGAAACACCACGACGAAGAACGGGACGAGAAGTTAGCTAGGAACGAGGCAGGGCCGTAGGAAACGAATAGAAAAGAGTATCGCCGCGCAAACTGCAGCCAACAATCCGGCATTAAACTAGCTCCTTACTCATATCAAATCGATGCCAGTTTGGAAGAGTTCAGAGACCACATTCAACACATAATAGAAGCAGGAGGAGTTATTCAACTAATCGCTCATCAAGAAGGTACTTCACCCATTTCTGATCTTTTGCCAATTGAGCAACAATCACATCCCAAATTTTTTTTCTCAAATCCGCATTATCAGCATCTTTATGTGCTGGATATATATTCTCACTTATATCAATAGATCCTACTCAGTTGACGCATGCTCTGCCAACTGACTTGCAACAACTGAGAGCCATTTTTGTCCCTTAACCGACGCCGGTGTGCGTGTCAGCAGTAACAAAAATTTGCGACGAAAACATGATTGTACATTATCATGGCCCTCCATTTAAGCGATATGATCTTCGCAAGTCATCTAAACATTGTTTACGGGTGACTTATTTTCCTTGTACGTCGTGCTTATTAGGTCGTGAAAATCGAATTCATTCAATTCAAAAGTCAAACCGTGATATAGTAGCGCAGAATCAGAGAACCGAATAGATGTGATGTCTTTCCATCAACATACATCGATCAAGGGCCAAACAATCCTGCCTCGTCGCTTCGGAATCCGAGCTCCTCTCAGATCTGTGGGGTTTGACGGAAGCTGAAAATGGACAAAATGGTCGCAAACGAAGAAACGCCAACCGTCAAAGTTAGCATGCGTCAGATAAAGGTCACCAATTGATTCTATATCAGTCAATGTCCGAGATACTAAGAATTCACGTCTTGATTGTAGCTGCTTGATGTGTCCTTTCGATCGCCCAGGCCCCTTGTTTGATCTTTGCAACGAGAGGGGTCCACGAGATACGTGACGCGTTATTTTATATTTTCAAATCGATTGAGTCTTGTTTGGTTAGTGTACGGCTCGTGTCCGAAAAGTAACAGTAGTAAAGAAAACAAGACCGTTTGTGTATATTTTTAGATGCGACAATCGTTCGTGTGCTAATTGTTTACCGATCACTTTACGTGAAAACATATATACAGTTCGATCCAGATGCTTCCGTATGAGTCAATCGACTTCAGTGTTTTTGCTTGGCTGTGGTGTTGAGACTGAAATAGCCACTCATCGAATCACCTTGGGTCATCGCAGACAACCAACCAGCAGAGAAGACGGACCGTTGGCACATAGTCTAGTTACAGGGCACGATTAAGGATTCAGCCTCTACCGTTTGGATAAAACCAACCAGTTGCAGGAGAATGAAGGCAGCTACTTTTCTTATGGCTGCGGCCATGATTTCGATTTCCGCTAATACTGTGAATGCCTACTCTGGGTCTTGGAATATCATCGGAAACAGCAGTACGTATTTATAGAGCAGCATTTACATTCCATTCCCTTCCGCTCTCTTATGCTTGCGGTCCTTGTTTACCTTCATCACATTTGGTGGGTGGTAACTTACCACCTTCATCACCACTAGGCACTGTGTGTATTATTTTGGCTCTACTTCCTGGAAACAGGCTTTTATGTACAGAACGGCCTCATGTCACTCCCTATGTTCGAAATCCCTATACTTTTGACCCTGTGGTATGTTGCAACATCCTGCCTCTCAGCTTGAAACATGCAAGCTTACGGGTGAATGCTGATCCATGATTGTATTCGTCGATAGTCTGGAAATGGAGAACTTACTTGTGAATTGGACTTGAACGTCTATCCATTGGTTTCCACATTGACTCACATTCCAACGTCGCCGTTTTGTGTAAGTATTTCTCAAACGTGGGCCGGAAACATCGGAAAATGATATTGAAATCATGTTACATAATTCGATTATCATTGGCATTACTCGTAAAGTTATCAGAGTCAGACCAGAAACCATACTATGAGGATTACCGAGTTTTGCACTAAAAAATGAACTCAAACTTCGCTCTATGAGCTATGAGCAACACGATATAAGGCATCTTGAACAGTTATGGATCAGATCCGATGATCAAGATCATTCCCATGAGGATACCCCGCATTGCAGCAGTCCGATTCGATCTCACCCAACTCACCATATTTTCGAGTATAGGGTGGACCAGTACAAATGGCCGATGGAAGTGTAATAATTGCTGGCGGGGATTATTCCACCATCAACAATGCCTTCACAAACGCAATCTGTATGAACCCTTGAAACATGTGATGATTTATTGTTGCTGATTTTCTTGTTGCTCCTAGATGTCGGAAACGGACTCAACACTGTACGAAGATATCACGCCAGCTGTGACTCTCCATCAGGTGGACCACCATGTCCTGTCGGATACTGGGAACCAATGTTTGAAATGGCCACATCTAGATGGTATCCTACAGCAATTTCTTTGCCAGATGGAAGTGCCATGATTGTTGGAGGTGTAAACACTAACTTGGACTTGCACCACGTTAATGCTTCAACAAACTCGCCTTCCTACGAATATACAAGTCAGAAACCGACTGGAGCAATTAGTCTGACAAACTTGAATACAAGTGAGTCATTCGTTCAGTGCACAGGACAGTCTTATGGCCCATTTAGTTCCCTTCAGTTTCGAATGCAATTACAATAATATTGTGAATCTAAACAACTTTTTCTATTTAGCCTTTCCATTCAATACCTTCCCAGCTTCATTCTTGTTACCATCTGGCAGAGTCTTTGTTCACTCAGGAACCGACAGCTCTTTGATAACTCCCAGCACCGATACGGTGGATTATGCAACAATACCCAGACTCGATCCTGATAATGTCCGACCGTTAATCTATCCCTGTAAGTCAATCGTTTTTCGTGCTATCGCTGGTTTTAAGAACTCGGCCAGATGATTTTTTGATTCTCGTGCTCATTCCTTTCATCTCGTTAGACTCTCCTACCATGGTCATACTACCAATGACAATTGCTAATAATTACTCATTTACTGCCATGCTTTGTGGTGGTGTCAAACGAGCCAATAGCTCTGTTGCAGAATATGTTCCAGATGATAACGATCTGTATGCTAATGAAGCCTGCTGGACGTAAGTTTTGAAATTATTTAATCGTTTGCTCTAGAGGGATGAATCCGCAATTATTCTAACATTGTGTTCTTCTTAGAATCCAACCAGACAGCCCAAACCCAACATGGACCAAAGTAGATCCACTCCCACAAGGGCGTGTAATGCCAGACGCAGTGCTAATGCCCGATGGTAAAATAGCCTACCTGAACGGCGGTGCTTACGGATACGCAGGTGGATCAGCCGGATTTGGTGTCGCTCGTTACCCAGTGCACGGAATCGACATTTTCGATCCACTACAACCCTCTGGTTCAAGATGGACTCGAGGACCTAATGCTACTGTAGACAGATTGTATCATTCTACTGCCGTCCTGATGCCTGATGGACGTGTTGTCGCTGCAGGTAGTGAAGAACAAAACTGGAATGATGTCTACCAGTTTGGAATTCAGAATATTACTGCTGACGGTGAAATCTATTCTAATTGTGCCTTTTATGTTAATTGTACTGATCCTTTCGAGGTATGGGATGAAGTTTTGGTATTCGAGATTTTGCGAGACATCATTACCTTTATTGTCACAGGTTTTTTGGTTGTTGTTGGTTTGACACCCCTCTCTTCTTTACATAGTACCGAATTGAAGCCTATTCTCCAGCCTACCTGGATCCACGCTTCTTATCCAGCAACACACCAGCACCTGTAATCACATCGGCTCCAAAAATCATAACCCATGGTTCAACCTTCTATATCGGCCTGTCCACGAATCCATTTGATGTCAACATGGTGTCCTTTATCAGATACTCGGCTGTTACCCATAATACAAAGTGAGGACTGGTGATTTGATTTAACGTCCAATACACCCTAGGAGGAGAGAAATAACCAATTTTTCCCTTCTCCTATAGCACGGACCAGCGCTTCATAGAGCTAAGAATCCTCTCCAAAAACGGCACACACATACAAGTGCAGCTGCCCTCAAACCCAAACCTGGCACCACCGGGTAACTGGATGTTGTTTTGTCTAAGCAGTGGGCGACCCGGTGTAGCCGCTACCGTTCTGTTACAAACTGGATCTCCTCAATTGGTTGCCGCTTTACAGTATAGCAGGTCTATACGGCTTGACGCCAGTATCATCTCGACAGTGTCGTTGGTATTGGCCTCATTAGCTTACCTCATGATATAGTCGTTAGTAAAGTAAAATAGTATTGATGCGTGCCTCCATCCCCTATACTCTTATCCGACCTCTCTCTTTGTCGCATGACCGTTGCCAACTAATGTAATATTTGATAAAATAAGATTGAATCTTTTGGCTGAATATTACAGTATATTTTAACGTGTGGTTTTCATGTTACAATATTTACACTCTCTTTGTGACAAGAGACACTTTACGCTCTACACCTGCTATGAAGCGAGCTGCTTCCTGTCTACGTGCAGTCTCGAATGCATTGGGTGGTTCCTAAATAATACATAGGCGTAAGCGCCAACAAGCACTATCATGAAATCGTATTTAATCATTCTTAGCCAAGTTTGGAACTTACATGATACAACGGCTCCGTCGTAAGCGCAACCCTTCCACCAACGGCAGCACCTCTACGTGCTGTTCCCATTGGCAGCTCCAATGGTAGAGGAGGTGGTCTGGTCACTAGTGCATGAACACTAGGCCATGACATATCAGGCTAAAAACGTTATGTAAGATCGCGGGAATTAAAATGATTTGAATTTGATACAATCCCTCAAACTACAAGCGGATATAAAGGAACACGAGACATACCTCAACAAAATCAATACTAGCAAGATGATGTGACGGTCTGCCCTCATCAAGTCTAACAACATGTCTCAAGAGCTTCCACAACCCCTTATCAGACTCCATCCCAAACTCTGCCAGCCTCTCAAGACTCAGTGTGCCCTCAATAGCGTCATCTGCTCTAGCAAACGATCGTAGTCCATCTGTACTTGATTTCGGGAGCACAGTAGCAAACGCTCGTATAGGCACCACCCTATTGAATTTCAGCGACCGTGTGCGAATGGTAAAATCAAACACGATCTGATTGTTTTCTTGTGGTGGTTTGGCTCGTATAGATATCTCAAACACCTGCTTTGTTTTAGCAGAAATTTTACATAGGACAGGATCCATCTTGAATTTCGCAGTCTCAGTCTCGAAATCCGTATTGGCACCCCATTCGTCTCCATCTGGAGCAAACACACCAAGATCAATTACAGTATCTCCAGCATTCTCAAGTTCAAACACTCGTCGGATACGTGTCCCTTCAACAACCTCCCCAAAATCAACCTGTATCAGATCCGTCGACAGTGCATCATCCAGCAAGTCACGCATGGTAGACCCTTGGCGAGAAGGAGAGCCAAAACTTGATTTAGATCGTTCAGCGACCGATAATCGTCTCTCTTTAGCAGGCTCCATTACATTCAGTCCTCTGTTGGTTGCACTAGCAACAAGACTAGCCTGTGGTTCGAAACCACTACCTCCACTCAAGGCGTCTAGTGACTCGGCACTTTCCACGAGATTGAGATTGATATTAGAGCTTCCTGGAAGTAGCGTTCCGGGTGGCAGCATTACAAACTGGCCACCTACAGTGAGTACTTTTATTGATACTAGAATTGTTGGATCCGTCTCGGGATCCGGATCAGCATCAATGATTTCCAGTGTCGAAGATACTTGTTCCTCATAAACTAATGGTGAGCAAGTGATTTCAATATCAAATGTGCCGTTTGGAGCGATTTCAAACACCCTAGCTCAAGAGAGTGGGATGAGATTTGCTCTAATTGAATTTTTTCTCATACGCACAAGAAACCAAAAAGATGCTTACTCTGTATGATTGGCAACGAAAACATCTGTAACTCCTCTCAATCGTGCCGTCACCGGAAGAGGTGTTGGATTGAGTAGTGAAATCACACGGAATTCAGGCTCTCCAACACCAACAACACCAAAATCAAGCGAGTCCTTGTCTGTAGTCAATTTGGGCTCGACGCCTTCACATGTGAATTGGACTACAAATGATCCCTCTCCCGTCTCAATAAAGGCTTGACACGTGTACGAAATTGGAAGTAAAGGCTTAAATTGGATGGGAACTTTAATTTCTGTACCGGATTTCGCTTCACCCGTTTGCTATCAAAGAACGGTGAGTGTCAATGGTCGACAAACCACAAAAAGATCTATTACGAATGGTTTACCTCTCCTTCTCGAATCCAAAACAGTTCAGACGAACCATCCTCAACACGAACAGTCCATTCCAACCTTCGTCTGACGGGGTTGGTAAATACAAACTCGCCCATTCCAGCACGATGAACTCGAGCATATCCAAGCGACACCGGTTCGAACAAGTCCAATTCCATTGGAACCTATTTTACATGCAAAGTACGATGATTAAAACAAGGTCAAGATGATTCGCTTTGCATGGCCGTTGAACCACCGTTTTCGACTTACGTCTATGTAGATACCAGACACAGATACTTCAATGGGACGCATTTCAAGAATGTGAGGCTGGATACGAATTAGAGCAGACACAGGAATGCTTTTAGGAACGGTCTCGTCAGCACTAAATATGAGTGGAGGTAGCCGTATACGGCATTCGATAGAGTCCGAGTCCTCGATTTCACTACTGGACGCATCAAAGATCACAGACTATAAAGGGAAACATGGTCGGCGTGAATTTGAGGTGGGCCTATCAATGTAGCGTTCACGTACATGGCCAGGCACAGTTGCTTGGAAAGAGACTTTGAAAGCATTCTTGTTGACTAGATGAACAATCTGCGTTGCACCTTCCGACATTGCCTAAATATGATATTTGAGTACTCGTTCTCCCTTTCTACACTCAATATTGTAAATCAACGGAACTCACCACATCTCCAAAAGAGATCTCTGATTCGATTTCAGTGTCTCCCGCGTCTTGAGATACTTCTCGTCTTACGAGACTCAGCGGTTGCACAGAATAATAGTACATAATGGGAATGTTTGAGATGGAGCCGCCTTCAACTGAGATTTGCATGTTTCGACGACATTGTCCCAACCGAATGAGCTCTGATATTACTGCGGCATCTCCAAGACCATTTTCAAGAATCGGAATGGCCATTTGTGCACTCAGAACGAATTCACCAGAAGTGCTAATAAAATTGTGAGAAAAATAGAGGATCAAAGCAAAAGGCTGACCATACCAATCGTCTTCGTTAGCATTCTCAGATGGATTTGGTCCAAGTTCAACCTTCGGAGGAGTAACACCAAACACTTCGCCAGCACTGAATTCACTGGCTCCATCTGATGAAACCGATCCTGACAGGAAGAGCTCAAACACACAGCCATTTCGAACCATAACCTAACAAATTACCAGATTGTGTCAAGTTCGTAAAACCCACTTTAAGGTTACTTTTATAGCTTACAGAGGTATCTCGGCATTCCCCAAAAAAGAGTTGCCCAAGATCAATATCCTTTGGCAAATACCGCTCGGCAATTTCGTAGGTAGCGCCTCGTCCAGCGATTTCAAATATCGATATTCCAATTTGAGTCTGGACGCCGATCTTAGTTGAGTACTGTCTCGAGATTTTAGGCTTGAACAACAGTGTCAGTTGCTCTGATTCGTTAGGTTCTACTGTTCCAGTCAAAGCAGTTCCAGGTATAAAATCAAACACGTCTGTTGAATCCCAGGGCTTCAGGATCTCATACTTCAGTAAGACAGTTCCCTTTGTCGCAAAACAAAAGTGAGACTAAGCGGACGAGTTTGTTGACTCATTTTCTTTCAAACCTGATTTTTCAAACTGATTGGAATCCCACGTTCTCCTCCAACAGATACAATTCTGAAATCGACTTGAGATGGCTCGATTTCTAGTCTTGGGCGACCTAATGCAGCTGTGACTTTTATGGCTGCACATTCTGTCCATTTCGTCTAAGAATCCCAAGTTTGAGAGAAAAAAATGGAAAGTAGGAAGCTTCGAATTCTGAGTTCGTACCAGCATTTTCTCTACAATGATCCTAACTTCTTTCATATCCTCACTGTCAGCATCTCGTGCAGCAAAGGAGAATTCGAAGGGAATCGAGGATCCAGGCTCAACGACACCCTCTATTGGAAGTGCACAGATTTCAGGCTTTTGCCTTTATACCTCCGTAATCGCAAGCTCAAACTCACCACACTCAGAGATAATCGTCCAAGGAGAGTCAGTCAAAGCATCCTGGCTAAGTGCACCTGCAATTCGTCTCATAGCCTTGCGTCTCCTCTTGGGGCCCTCACTACCCTTCTTTTTCTTCTTGCTCTTATCATCGTCTTCTTCTTCGTCTACTTCAGTTATAGCTAGACGGTATTGAATAGGGGAAGATCCGTAGTTGGTCATGTTACGAGAGCAATTCTGAGTTTGTCCAACCATGATACGCCCCATGACAATATCTTCAGTGTCATCCACTTCCAGCTGCTCGTTATATGCTCGAAAGCTGAATGATAGCTCTTTGGTTACAAATCCTTTGCCCAAATTGGTGCGTATAACAAGAGCAGCCTCACAGACACCAGTCTTTTTGGGGCAAGCACTGACTTCTACTATTACTGTTCGACTCGGCATCAGTAGCGAGCCCGACTCAAAGTCACTTGATTTGATGGTGAAAATGGGCAAGTTGGGCTCCATGCTGAATTCCATAGGGATTTCGATATCTCCAGTATTCGTTACGACAATGGAGGAGCTCTGTACTTCATTTACTCCCATATTTAAATATTTAAGCTCTCCTACAACCTTGTAGTCACATGTACCGCAGAGAGCCTTCATCGGCACCTGCAGTACTGAAATCTCTTCGTCGACTACTTGCAGAGGCTCACGGATTGGTCCTGCTTTGAGCGGTGTCATGACGATATTGACTGAAGCTGACCCTCCTGGGGATACCGCAATCAGCCCTTCCGAGTCTCGAATAGCTTCAAAAGTAAAGGTCTTGTTTGGATGTGTCAATACGAATCGACCATCGACGTTGCCCCGATTCTTTACGACCAAAACTTTGGTGTACTGACAGTCTACCACACAGACGCCCCAATCCATACCACCTAAGGCTTGGTCGTCTTCATCAACAAAGTCGACATACAATTCGGGAGCTCCTGCGATACCCGTAACCTGAAACGTAACAGGAACGCCCGTCCAAATTATGATATAGTTTCGGTTGTAAGTACCAGCATCATTAGATGAAAAGTACACTTCGACCATGGTTTCTTGTCCAGGTGCAAGTTCTCCTTCGTAAGCATTAAAGGTAAAAATATCGGGAGAAGCATTTTTGGATTCAGGCACAATTCTCCACTTGTCCTCATATGTGCCCATATTCTTGACTACAAACGTTTGCATGGTCTTTTGCTTTCTAGGTATCAGGCCTAGATCGACTACGGGTTTATCAATGGATATTATGGCATTACCAACTCGGCCGACTATGGCAAAATCGACAATATCGACTTCGTTCGAAACAACCTTGTAAGTATTCCGATACGTTCCAGTGGTCAGTGCTCTAAAGTCGACTAGGAAGGATACAGAAGCGCTAGGTTCGATGGATCCAGTTGTAGGAGTCACCACGAAAGCTCGTTCAGCTGTACTTCGATTTTCAGGACGAGTGACGTGAGTGGGTTCTTCCACTAAAGCGAATTCAAAGACCATGTTTCCAATGTTGGGCTAATCAAGGTGGTGGGCTCAATAAGGGGGCATCAAAGTTAACAAGCAACGTCGATGGGAAACTTACCATAGTGAACAGGTCAACACCGGCTACACCAACTCCACCACGCACAAGGCCCAAGTCGAACTCTTGTAAGGTGACATCTTCATGAACCTGTTCACTTACACCACGTTCCAGTAACTTGACACTACGACTCGATACATGTGCTCGACGGATACAAGCGGCTACTTCTGATTTGTTATCGAGCTGATGACTGCCAACTTGCTGGCCAATACTAGCTATAAGCTGATCACTATCGGCAATCAATCTATCGACAATCTTAGCTTTATCTAGCCAACTGAGATCGTCGGACATTGTCAGTTCCGCCTGTACATCGCCCAAAAACTCTTGTATCGGCCGTAACAAGAGAGCGATTTCGTCTTCGGTCATATACTCCGCGTGGACATATTCTACAGCACCAGTCAGCGCACGAGCTTTTGAGGATTTAGGAGCCCCATCTACACCCGCCATCATACTACCAGCACGACTTGAATGGGGACGAGCAGAACCAGCGCTAGATACGGCCTCCTTCTTCGTCTCTGCAGTAGTCTCAGCTCGACCTCGGGCCGAAACTTGTGCTGCAACTAGCTCATTTGCTAGAGATTGTAATACCTCGAAATGATTATCAATGGCTAGTGATTTAGCTTCCTTACTAATGGCTTTAGCTGGAGCGCCTGCTCTAGAACCTGTTACCTTGCCCAAGGTAATAGCAGCCAAAGTCACAATGGCTTTACCACCTTTAACACTAATCATTCCGTCGTATTGCTCTCCATTGTTTGTGGAAAAGGAGAATTGGGCAGTATACAGCGAATCGTAGTCGACGGGTTTTACAGTGCAGGTCAAAGATATCTGTTGTTGTGGTTGGATTTTGCCTTGAGGTGGCGTAATGTCAAATATAGAAGCTGCTAACTCGGAAAGTCCAACTCCATCCTGCTCGGCTTTATCAATCTTTACTTCATACGATAATGTCTTGCGGCCTGAATTGGTTACTACTATAGTCCTGACATGAGATTTACCAATGGCAGCAACACCAAAGTCTAGTCTTAGATGGTCTTCTGGGATTGATATGAAAGGCACCCCAACGACACCATAGCACATCAGAGCCATGGTACCAGCATCGGTATTGAAAGTGATTGACGAATTCAGTTGCTCATAGTCTGTTGGCTGATAAATTACTTGGAGATAGGCGGTCTGGCCAGCCAACAGATTTCCAAACGACGGCTCTATGCTGAGCACGTCAATTTCGCTTTCCGTATTCCAGTGACATTCTGCGTTACCATCATTTACAACCTGTATTTCCACCACTTTACCCAGCCTCATATATGTTGTTTCAAAGTCAACCTCCAATGTGTGCAGTCGGAATACAGGCATGCCAATTTCCACATGTAATGGCACGATGATTTCTTCCCATAGACCATTAGGCACTCGTAGCCATCTCACTACAATCGTGGCATCTTTAGCATCTATGGATCCACTGCAACATCTAATTTGCACTATATCCACAGCTCCTGGAGCTAGTTTAGCTTCTAGCTCATATGGCTCTTCCGTTGAGACAAATTTAAAATCTGGAATCATTTGTACTATTCGAAGCTGATATTGGCAATCCAACAAGCCGTGGTTTATGAGCTTGAATGATTTCGTTCCGACTCGATTGACTTTTAGCGCTCCAAAGTTGACTTCAGAATCACAAGACAAGTCGGCTGAGGCACCTGTACCTGCTAATCTTACTACTGCAACACCGTGAGTATGGGCAAAGTGTACTTCACCCCGATACTGTAACTGTTCTCGTTGAGGATGGAATTCAACAGGAATGGATACACGATCTCCTGGTTGTATATTCCAAGCTCGTTGCTTGACATGGAATGCTGGTGCAATCTGGGTCAAAGATAGATTTTGAATCTCACTAGACAGATTCAAAACATCCAGATTGAGTACAGTTCCTTCTTCTTTGTCTCCATCTCTAGTTACGCCATAGTCACTGGAAGTCGATAACTCTAAGTGCCTCTGATAGTCGTCGTCTATAAAGACTTCAGCAGGTGCAAGACCAAAGTCATGGAATGGTGGGAAGAATTCAAGAGACCGATATGTTTTACCAGTCAACTTTAACGACGTTGATTTGATCAAAGTCGTTGAGGTTGCGTCAGCCCGTTCGTCCTCGACTGTTGTCAGAGGCTCATAATGGAAGTGCATCTCCGTTGGTGCTTTCGGCGTACTACCAATCAAAAAATGATATGACGACAATGGTCTTAAAGGAGGCAGATTTGCTATGGACGTTGATTCCATCTGCAGGATATCACTATGCTTTCGGACAACTATTGGTTTACCACCTATTTGGGCATTAAACTGTGGCCGACGAAATTCAGTTCGTAGTTTACGAGCCTTTGATACCATTTCTTTGAGCAGTTTACGAAGCGTGGCAAATACGATCATCTTCCTTTTAAAGATAGCCCAATAATCTTTGCCAACTCGTATTGTAAGCTTCTGTTCCAAAGTAGAAGCTTCATCTACAACACCAGCACTGAGCCCCATAAATCTGACCTTGACAAAGTTAGGCATATCGGCTGAGATATCGTTCAAGACCAAAGGTATGGTTCCTCTATTCGTCAACTGTATATTGACCCATGCGAGTGTCCCTTCTCGTTGCAGTCCTATATCCACATCTCTGTGATTGAATCGTTCACAAACGAGGTCGGTAGTTCCACCAACACCATTCACCGGAATCTCCCATAAACGGTGGTTGGCAAATACGAGCAGTTTTGATGATGATCCTCGTGATTCCGTGGGCAGAAAGAGCACTTCAATCTCAGCTTCATCCCGAGCAGCCAACATCAATTTCTCTTGATTGACGACAAATGGCTCTGTGACTTTGAGACGAACCTCCATATCTCTCGAGCCATTATTTGACAGTAAAAATCCCTTGGCTTTTCGATTCATCACTACTGCACTGCCAAACTCTATTTGTTCTGGCATCCCTGTCAGTGACGTGTTTACAGATTGTCCTCGAAGGACGATGGAAGCCAAATGACTTCCTTTTGATAGTCTGTCTGTTGCATCTCTGAAAAAACGGAATAGAACCGTCAGAATGTAAATTCACAGCGAAAACGGTGTAGGATCTTACTTGACGCTGAGATCAGCTGTAACATCAAAACTACCAGATACTTCGGAATGAAATTTGAATGGAATTGCATATGTATCTGACGGTGCTAATTCCCCAGTAATAGAGCCAGCTTCGAAGGCAGAGTACTTGGTTCGTCCACCACCAAGTTTTATAGTCCATGCCATGGTTGATGATCCAGTATTCACCAATAGTACATGACGAGTATGAATGCCCAACCAATAGCTTGCTACATCTACTAGTCCAAAATCAACGATTACATGACCATCGGAATCTGGACTTGGGAATACGACAACATCTGATGCAGGACGACATACAAGACTGACTGCATGGAAGGTATGCTCAACTTCGTCCAGCGCCATACCAAATCCATACACTATAGACGACTCTGCACGATCCAAAGGTGGCAAAAACATTATTTCAGTATTGTATGATTCTGCCGCTTGTAGCAACCACGGCTTTTTCGGATCAATGGAGAAGTTGGTTGATGCTATAAAGGATACAGTTGTAGGATGCTTGGACTTGTTGGTTACTTTTAAAGGATTTGATATGGGACGGCGTGGATTGTTGAATTCAGTAATATCGGTAGTATTTTGGACCTGAGGGCGGTATATTAACAAGTCTCTTTGAAACATCACTTCAGCGACTCCACTCTTCCGACCACCAACTGGAGTTAAATCGAAATGGCGAGCCTTCTCCTCTCCTCCTGGATACTCATCCAATAGTCTCTTAGGATGAGACATCCACTGTTTAATATATTCTATGCCGTTCTTATCCAGCACATCGTCTAAAGAATGTGGGTATGGCTCTATACATATTCCAACCAATGTCAAGGATTTACCATTGACACACGTTGGAATATTTCCGCAAACCGGGTTAAGAATGCGGAATGTGATGGTCTGTAGTAGCGGACCTCGTTCTCTAGCCAAAAACGAGAAGAGGGCGTTTGTGGCAGATTGAGCTTTTACTACAGTAGGTGTCAGATCATCTGATGAGACAGAGCTACCAAAGCTGCTAGTTCTCACATTTACTGCACTTCTCGGCCCATTGAGATTATCCAACACCACAGATAAATCATACTGTGACTGGTTGACAAGAGTCAATACAAGACTCTCTGTCTGTCCCACCATACAGGGTTTAAAGAATGCAACATCCCATGATAAGAAGAACAATGGTAGTCCAATGAAAGCCTTTACGACTAATGGTGTGTTCTGGAAGTCGGGACACAATATTTCGATACACGAGATAAGGTTCCCAGAGACTGGTTGATCTTCACCACATTTAATCTCTACTTCAATCGAGACGGCTCCAAACGAGGGTATTGTTGCGAGGCCAGGACAGATGATGGCTGTGCTGTGTGCGTGTAGACCCACAGTCAAATTGGTATCCGACAGATTGAAGAGAGTGACGCATCGAGTCTAGTAGAAACAAATGGCTTTAGAACGAGATTGTTCCGCAGCAAAAATTCGCATGAGAGTCGGAAAGAAGGCCTACCACATTCTTCGAAGCCTGATAACAAACACCCAAATCTAGCTCATTCATTTCTGCCTTCGAAGCAGAGTTGAGCAACCTGTCCACAATATGCTGCTCCTCTTCGGAGAAATTACTACGCTTCTCAGCCTTGTCAGTCCGTCTAAGTTTCTTTAACAAGGCCGAGCGGTCTTTACTCAAGACACTTGCACCAGCTCTAGAGTTACTTTCACTCTCTGCATATATAGCTACTGGAACACCAGCAAATGCTTCAATTGGGACCTTGACCAAGTCCCCACCGGGAGCTTTTACTATTATTACATCCGAGAATCGACCTTCATGTTTGGGCTCGTATGCTACATTCCATTGCTTTTTTTCTCCTGGCTGCATGCGAATGTCGTCAGACAAGACATGGAATGGCCCATCCTGTAAAGGATCCTCACTACCTGACTGGCCTTGCATTTCAATCGACAGCGAAATACCAACAGTCGAGACGTTTTCAACAATAAAGGCACACTCTTTACGCTGACCAGGCAACAACCATCCTGCGTCAATACGAGTTGGTTTGACTTTTACAAACGATTGTCGTACAGCTACGAGATTACATACAGCCAACTTCTTGCCAGTATCGTCAATCAAGCTCATAATGGTATCAATCCGATCATTCTTGATGGCGCGAGGATGAAAGGTCACTGTGAGTTCAATTGTGCCTTCTCCTTGTAGCATTAAATGGGTTGACGACACTGAGAAGACATTCGTGTCAATAGATACAAAGAAACTATGTTCATCTCGATCACCACGATAAGCTCGATATTTCAAAGTCGCTGTAGAGCTCATGGTTGTATTTACAGAGCGGAATTCCATCGTTGAGGGTTCAAATACCAATCTCATCGGTGGGCTTTTAAGGTATGCGAGATCATCACTGTCTCGCAAGAAACCTATAATATCGGTTGGCTCTATTACTACTTGGCCACTTTCAGTGGCCTCTTCGTTGAGAATCCTAGAAATATCCTGGATACGGAGTGCGTTGCCTCCACGTGTTCTAGACAGATTCAACATGCGTTGACATAATAGAGGTTGCTGCGCCTCTAATTCAGCAAGTAGCGAGTCCATATTTTGTCGCGAGGATTTAAACTCAGCACGACTACGACCACTTTTCTTGACAGACTGGGCAGATACTGTTCGAGTCAAAGCTATTTGATTTCCTAATTCGTCTCCAGAGCCAAATGCGCTATCATCAGAGCCTGAATCATCCAACCCATCAAATTGCTGCAACGCTTCATGTGCATTCAGCAGCAATACTCCTCTAGCTTGCACGAACGATAGGCCATCATAATATGGAATCCCTTCATGTGTAAACCCTGCCGGCGGTGGCAAAATAGCAGCACGAGGAAAGAAAAATGGATGACCATTACTGTCAAACCCAGCCAGAGGAGCTTTTGGACCATCACCAAAGCTCTGGCTTTCAGGCAGATAAAACCTAGTACCTTTTAAAGTTACGCCTGCCGGTGCAGGTTTGAGATTCGGTGGCCGACCAAAGTATGGCTGATTCATTGACAAGTATCCTGCTGGTGTTGGAGGCAAATTACACGGCGGAGCAAAAAACGCTACACCACTATGAAGGAATCCGGATGGGTTTGGTATTGCTGTAGACAAGGCATGAGCTGAATGACTTCCTCTTGTCGGGTGCTGTGCTGTCACACTGTATCTACTCCTGGTTGCAATATGGTCTTCCACATTAGGAATGGTGCTTTCTCTTCTGTCCGCAGCCATTGGGCGATCGTGCCAACGTCGACGATTTGCACTTTCGGCCGTGTTTGATGATACCATGTCATATCGAGCAGAGATCTCTGCCGCAACTTTACGTTGTGAGAAGACGATATCTAGATTTCAGAGTTGAATGAGAGGTAGATATTTTTTGGTAATGCAACCATTAGCGATAATACCATCTTGATAGTCATCATCAATGACCTCTAAATTGATGGCGGTCCACTCAAATGGCTTGCGACGAGACCTTACAAAAATATTGAATGTAGCACCGACCATCAACACTGTTGGACTAGAATGTATATTTGATGGTGAGTAATTGTTTTTTAATTTTCAATCTTTCTGCCTTGCAAAAAAACCCACTCGTCTGAGTTGTCAGGCTGCACATTCACAGCAGATAGCTCCTTGTTGATACAAACTATTCGAGTCAATACTCTTTGTAAACGTTGGGTTCCTGGCTGAATGATATCAAATATGACTGGTGCTCCTTCTGGAAAATCAACAACCATTCCAACAGGTTTCAGACTCCTAATAAACAAGAATGTTACAGTGGTTTCCTATCAGGGCAAAGCAATGACCAATTTCAACTTACTGATCTTTGCTTTGGAAAACAATCACCCTTTTATCAAAGGTATATCCCGGTGGGGGAGGACCATCAACAGAGACAACCAAAGTCCTGGAGCTGTCTTTACGTGAATGTAATCCAGTCAATTTCCCACTACTTGGGGGCTCAATCATTTCAGCGTCAAAACCTGGGAATGGGCAGGTTGACAAGAATCCATATGGGGCCTTCGTGGGATCAAGTATGTTTGCAGCAACGACGCCAGGAGGTTGACTTTGAGTATTAGGTGGAATGTCATGTTTCTGGCTACGTTTGGCTAGAACTTGGGTAGATCGACCCTTGCCAATACCAATTGCAAGATTGCGATCACGTAATGATGAGTTCGGAGCGAGTTTCGGTCCTGTATCTACTAATGCTGCATCTAGGTCTACCAACCCGTGCGGAGAATACGAGTAGCCAGATGGTAATCCGAGTACTTGGCCTGTTCGTTCCATATACTCGTAACGAGATCTAGGCGGTCTAATTTTCGACAAGTATGAGGTATCCTAAAAGCAGAGTTTCGAGTCAACCACCGAGCAGTATATCGTACATTCACGATTGTCGTCACTGACCACAAATACAGGTGGTATCGTAGTTGCAGCACTAGGAACTCCAGGAATGGCAGGATGGGGACGACTTATAAGTACATTGGAGTTTTGATGAATGGGAAGTGAGCACAATACGTCACAACCCGAGAATTTCCCATAAAAGAGACAATCGTGATCCTCCACAGCTGCCATTTTGGCAAAAGTACCAGGCACCATTAACATCTGCCGCACAATCTTGGCTCTTAAAGCAACTTTCAGTTGCACTTGTTCTTGACCTGCTTTCAGAGACCGACGCTGCGATTCGAGGAGACTCTGGTGCTTGTCGAAAGCACCCAATTCTTCAGCTCGTTTTAAGCCCGATAAAAGAGCTTCAAATCCGAAAATATGTGCCGTCTCCAAAGTGATTGGCATCCATTTCCTATACATAGAGCGTTTGAGTTCCTCTATATGCAACATAAAGACGTTCACGACTTACGAAACAAAGCGAATTGCAGCCGATTGAAGCTGCGGGTGATTAGTTCTGACTAAGGGATGCACGTACAACTTGAACAGTGCTCCAACATACATTTGATTTGTCTCATTACTGCACATCTAAGGTTGAGCAACTGGGTTGAGAAGATCCCAACTGTTTGAGTGTTTTACAGATCCTTACATCGATATTGAAAACGTTCAATATGGCCAATACAACACAAGCAGCTCCTTCATTTACTCGTGCCTTCTTGTCATTCTTTGCAATGACGGCAGAGTCTCCATTATCCATCTCATCACGGAGCATGTATAATAGCAAGTCTTCTACATCTCGACTGTGTTTGTGTGGGTATCGAGCGTATTTGCCTAGAGCTTGAATAAGATAAATCTTAAAAGTTCGAGACTCTGCTCGAAAGCGATTTGGATCGTTCTGTTAGAATTGGGGAAGCTGTTAACTGGCGAAATTCGCTACATTCCAAGTGGCCAAATTTCGCGTCTCCTAGCTTACTTTGACGGCCTTTTCACGTATTTGGATGCTGAGTAAAGAAAGAGCTAGTTCCTTGAATGGCTGTGCGAAAGTGATGTTAGTAACGGATCAATATAGCCAAAGCCACCAATTCACGTACAAGTACGAGAAGATCATCAGCTGCTTCACCCAAATAGACACCCAGCTGTCCCAGTAAGCATATAGCCTTGAGCCTGTTCTCCGGTCTGCAATCAGACGCCATTGTTCGAATCAAGAGCGAACTCAACATCTACGGAACGTAAACGATCAAAATGCGCATGAGGAACGATTGATGTAGTGAAGAAAGTACCTCACGCATGCTAGAATCAGGTAGAGTTTCTTGCATCGTGGGTAAAACTCGACCTAATGCAGCCATTGCCATATACCGATATAGAGCATCTGACTGTTGCAACCCCATTGAAAATAAATTCCATGCTCGACCGAAGCGTATTTGAGATGCTGCGAATTCGTAATCTCCTGCCAAATACGAGCAACGTTATTAGTACGAATTTAACAAAACGATATGCTGCCTTGCAAACACAAATTAACAGATCACAAACGACATGCCTTGTAGGAATTGTACAAGATCATATGAAATATTCATGAGGATTGCACACGCGTTGATGTCTAGCAAGTTGGCAAGGGCACCATTCGCCGTGGAATCGGATGCTGTCCCCTTTCCCAATGTCGAGATTTTGGACCATAGGAAATCCACATTACGTATAAAAGCATTATCAGATCTACCAGAAGCTGCTCTTTTTCGTGAATTGAACATCTCGTTGGCCTAGTTAGTTTGAAACAGTGAGATTTCTGGAAACGATTCTGCATTTTGATTTCAGGTTTGAGACATACCTTGTCGCCAGTGGTGGAGAACATGCTGGATCTGCTTAAGCCTCCCAATATCTGAAATGATCCAAGGGTCGCCATCGTGCCGTTTGGTGATATACGTTGTTGTAATCATCAACGAATGTCAAAGGATAAAGGATTCACCAGTACAGAAAATGTCAGAGAAATCAACGACCACAGTCCAGATCACAGTCAATGAATGGAGGAGACTTGATTTAGCTCAAATTCGCGTGGTGACCGTCACCCTTTGCGGGAATGCGTGCAAAACATTCGGAGAGACAGCACCAAAGTTTATTGAGAGTGTCCACCTCAGCGCTGAAGGTTTGGACTTTGGCCGAGATGAAATGATGCAGGGATTACTGCGAGACATATATTTTGTTCCAAACGCATGACTCTGCCTTACTCAAGGTAAGCTGCTTCGCAAGAATAACAATTGGGCGCTTCTTTACCAATTCTCTCTCACCATCAATATAGCTTTGGGATAGATCTGATACCGAAGACGCTAGTTCCAGGTGCTCTGCTGCTGTTACTAGGGAATGCACATGGATTCCGCTCCTTTCCATCCCTCCCTGAAGCCGTTCCACCCTCGCCCTCCGCATATTTACTTGTTTCAACTTTGGATATGTTTTGCACTGTTGGCATCACTGCAACCTGTAGCCGCCAAGGCTAGATTTTGGGGACTTGTAGCTTTACAACAGAATGTCACGCTTAGTAGTCCAGGAAAATGGGAGGTCATTGGCACATCAGGTATACATCAAGCTCATCAACACACCACTATACAGGCCATGTACTGATCGGACAATCTTACGGGACCCCGTTTACTAGATGTAATCTGTATTATCATGGCTTTAATACCTGGAAATCGCCTTATTTGTGCCGAAAGGCCTCATCCGCCTCCATATGCGTACAACCCTTATACGTACGTGCTTTTAGGTTTTGTGCACAAGAATGTGTCAATGGTTTTGCAACTGTATACTAAACGCTCTATATAGATATGATAATAAGGTACCTAAAGCTGCTAGACCTATCTTCGTGCACTCGGTTTCACCGCTAGAACAAATCCTTTTCCTATAGACTGGACATACTGAACTCACTTCGGAAATCGATCTGAATACGGGCAAGGTCACGAATACTCACATCAACACCAGTCCATTTTGTGTAAGCAGACACGCAGTTATAGGACCAAAGACGGCCAGATCGTAATCTTTGCTCAAATGATAGGGTGGCCCTGTTCAAGCATATGACGGAAATGTGCTTGTAGTGGGAGGTGATAATGCTATCGTCAACAACACGAGGACTGACAATTCTACATGTAAGGATCGTGTCTCGCTTTATAACTACGTGTGCGCGCGTGATTTGCTGATCTACTCGCAACATTTAGACATTGGAGATGGTCGAGCTACTATAAGAAAATACAACTCTGCTTGTGTTTCTGCCACTGGAGGAGCACCATGTCCAGTAGGATCATGGACAGACATGTATTCAATGACTGTTCAACGGTGGTACCCTACGGTTGTAACCCTCAACGATGGAACGTAAGTTTTGAGAGCCAACATTCCGTCAAGAAGTGATGAATGGCTCACTGATATGCTATCGATTCACCTAGTGTCATTATCGTCGGTGGTTCTGGCAACAACCTCGACTTGCACTTCCTCAATCGAACTCAGGACGAACCAACCTGGGAGTTTATTCCTCCACGGCCATCTGGCCCTCAACTTTTGCCAATTTTGAGAGATAGTAAGATCATTTTCTTTATTTGAAAATTCAACGAAATTCCCGTCTGACTTCAGTTCGCTCAAAGCTTGGCCATTCAATTTGTTCCCAATGGTGTATCAATTGCCATCTGGACGAGTATGGGTGTTTAGTGGTACCCTTGCCGCATACATCGACCCAGTCACAAATACTTGGAGCAACTCGACTTTGACTTCGTTGGATCCTTGGAATGCTCGTCCTCATATATACCCATGTACATATTCAAGTCGATTTTTTCTTAAAAGGTGTTCGAAAATCATACGCTGGTTCTGACTCCTACAAATATTTAGATACTCCAACTGGAGTGATATTACCGATGACTATTGCAAATAACGTAAGTGCTTCTCTAGGCAAGGTTTGCAAACTACCGGTCCTAACTCGTTTTCTCCCGCCAGTACTCATTTACCATCCAAATGTGTGGAGGAACGACGAGATCATCAGTTGCGGCTAATTTGACAATACCTGGGATGGGGGATGTTTTGACTGCTGATCAAGCTTGTTATCAGTAGGTACTCCCGAATATATCCGTGAGACTACTGAGCTCAGGTATTTTTAAATACTTAGGATTCAGCCCGACTCTCCTGCACCTCAATGGATTCCAGTAGATGTTTTACCTGTTGGAAGAGTCATGCCCGACTCTGTACTACTCCCTGACGGCAAAATACTCTATGTTAACGGTGCAAATAGCGGCTATGCAGGTGGTGGAGCAGGATTTGGTGTAGCTCGTTTCCCAGTTCACCAAGCAGACATTTTTGATCCTACCGCGCCTGCTGGAACGAAATGGAGCACAGGAGCTTCAGCTACAGTGGATCGAATGTATCATTCAACCGCCGTCTTGATCGCTGATGGTCGAGTGGTGACTGGAGGAAGTGAAGAGCAGAATTGGAATGATGTCTTTACTTTTGGCATTCAGAGAATTGATAACGATGGTCAAATCTATTGTAATTGTGTATTTGGTGCAGATTGCACTGATCCATATGAGGTGAGCACCTTCGCTATCATGTTTATTCTTTTCTCGCCTGAACTCATGTATATTTTCGTACTCAGTATCGTCTCGAAGCCTACTCTCCACCATATATGTCGATACCCAATCCACCTGTAATCAAGTCGACTCCTGGACAAATTACATATGGTTCAACGTTCTATGTGGAGCTCTTTACGGATACAGCTGCCGTAGGCATGGTGTCTATGATCCGATACACTTCTGTAACTCATTCTCTCAAGTAAGCCATTGCAAAACTAGGGCACAAACACAAGAACTTCAACGTCATAGCTCACAAAATGAAATCACGATTCTAGTACCGACCAACGGTTTATAGAGTTACCAATACTATCACGTAATACCACACATCTCCAATTACGTGGACCTCCTAATGGATATCTTGCGCCGCCTGGTAATTGGCATCTCTTTGTAGTGTCGAGTGCAGGGCGCCCTGGTACAGCTTATACTGTAATGATCGCTCGCGGAGCAGCCACCAGCGTAGCATCTCTGAATCCTACGCAGAACACCCGGACAGCCAGTAGTTCTAGTAGTCGTAGTAGAAGCAGAAGTTACCTACTCACCATCTTCCTAGTGTTGATGTGGTTTGGATTGTAATTTAGAGGACAGTCAGGTGTAAAGAGTCGGCAGAGTCTGCCAGTACAAAAATGGACAGAATATATCACAAAGTAACATGATGTAAGAAGGAAGCATAGATAAAAAAGAGCATAAAAGTGATCTGGGACAAGTTGACCGAAATGATTACACAGAATTTCTAATCATACTGTACTTTTTTTGCACCAGAACACGTAAATGTAGATCTCGTGTCGCACTTCACGCCTGGGATTGTTCGTTCCTAAATCACATAGAGGACGTCGACAATTTGAATAGATTTTATAGATCTCGCTGATCTCGCGTCGTTGATGTCCTATCCTTCTTCCTTCCGCCAAACTCACAGCACCCACAGAGGACGGCCGTGTTTCAAAAAGACTCGATAACAATGGTGCCAAAGAGTAAGTAACAATCCGCGATACTGTTATTAATGATATGAATGCCTCTCCACACATAAGAAATCATCTCTTATCACATTTGCTCACTCTTTTTTTTCACCTGATCTCATCAGAAATCAAGAGCAAGCGTATGCCTGCGACCCATAAATACAAAGTACAACGTAAAGTAAGAGAACATAATCGCAAGATGCGTAAAGCTTCCAAGTCAAATCCCAACAAAAAAACTAGTAAGTTTTTTGAACGACATCATCAAAAAAAAAAGTGTTAGCTTCAAAATTAATGGACCGGAGAAGATCTGACAGCTGCTGGTTATTATTAGAACTTAAAAAAGATCCCGGTATACCAAGTCTGTTTCCATACAAGGAGAAACTGCTCCATCAGATAGAAGAAACCAAGAGAAAGGTATGCGTCTTCATATTGGATGCGTTTTTTGCTACTTCTAAGCAACATTCACAACTAGGCCGAAGAAGAAAAGGAAGCTGAAAAGCAAGCTCGTCTAGAAGCACGACGCATTCCTCAAAAGGACTCGTTAACGTCCTTGGTCGAATCAGCCAATGAACGAGCTGAAGCCTTCCAAGCTTCTAACGCTGACGACGATGATGATGAAGCTCCAATGCTGGTAGAAGCAACAGTATCCGGATCAAAAGATAATTCCCGAAAAGCTTATTACAAGGAATTCAAAAATGTCGTTGAATCAGCCGATGTCATTTTGGAAGTACTTGACGCTCGAGATCCATTGGGATGTCGAACACGTCAAATAGAAGAAATGATTTTGGCGTCTGGAACTCAGAAACGGGTTATACTTGTCCTCAATAAGATTGGTATGTTGTTTTTGTCCCAAAAAAAAAAGTCATATACCAGGCATCGAAGCATCATGATCTACTGACACGTCGTTTCTTCACAGATCTGGTACCCAAGGAAACAGTAGAAGAATGGCTCAAATATCTCCGAGAGGAGCTTCCTACCATTGCATTCAAAGCCAATACCTCTGCCAAACGGGATCATTTGGGACATGCCTCCGTCAAAGCATCAGCCGAACAACTCTCTACCAGCTCGGAATGTCTAGGTATGCACTTTGCGCTGACGCGTATTTCCAGTATAAGCTTGGCTGATTGAATCTCGTCTTGACAATTAGGTGCTGACACATTACTCAAATTATTGAAGAATTATTGTCGAAACGGTGGAATCAAGACTAGTATTACTGTCGGTGTAGTCGGATTTCCCAATGTGAGTACTCAGTTGTTTGACTGATCAAAAAAATCCTTTTATGATCCTAACTCCAAAATTAGGTTGGAAAATCAAGTGTTATCAATTCTCTCAAACGATCCAAAGTATGTCAAGTCGGTTCTACTCCAGGCGTAACGAAATCATCACAAGAAATACATCTGGACAAGAATATTAAATTATTGGATTGTCCTGGTATTGTCTTTAGCAGACAAATGTCTGATGCTGATGCTGCTGATGTCGTGTTACGGAATTGTGTCAAAGTGGAATTGGTTGCTGATCCTATAGCACCAGGTGTGTAAAGAGCCATTTGGAAATAGCAAATTTCAGAGATCAGGTTACCCACGTTTCTTTAGTTGAAAGAATTGTGGCCAGATGTAAACGAGAGCAACTGATGCTCTACTACAAGATTCCTGCCTTCCTGGATACCAAAGACTTTTTGATTCAGTTGGCTCGTCTTAGAGGTCGCTTAAGGAAGGTAAGAATCCTTGCTCGAGTTTTGATCTGTGTTTTTTTGTTGGATGCCTTCCTTCTACAAACGTCAGAAGTCGTCTCCAAACTCAATTGTCGAATGCTTACCGGATGTTACAACCTCAATCGTATAGGGAGGCATAGCGGACTTGGAATCGACAGCCAAATCCGTATTGAACGACTGGAATGCAGGTCGTATACCATACTTTTGCATACCGCCAATCCGAACATCCCAAGTATCATCCGCAATCGTCGCTGAATGGGCAAAAGAATTCAAACTACCTGAAATCATTACAGTAGAAGCTGATCAAGAAATATTACAGGCTGCTATACCACAATCAGAGGGCAAGAGTAAATTCTTGGCGATGAGTAGTGGTAACAGTATGCAAATTGACATGGATGGTACCGGGATTGAAGAATCAGATGACGATGAAGAGATGGACGTTGATGAGGAGGATGATTATGACGATGAAGAGGATGGTGAAGAGATGGAAGAAGATTGATATGAATCTCTATAGTCTAGTTGTCTTTGTATTTGTCGCAAACAAATGTCAATACATGTTATTTTTAGTCAAATTAGCGCAACAGGCTTATATGCTTGTCTATCGTGAGAGTCAGCGAATCAAGCTCATGGAGCTACAAAGCTCCTCTAATGTCTGAACGTTTGATCAATAATTGCATTGGATGGCACCTTACCTCTCTATGACAAGCTTGTAGCTCCTTTAGCGAGGATGATGCAAAGCTTTTTAACAGATTACGAGTTTGAAAGTGACCAAAGTCACCAACGAAGACGTATTCATGACGCGTTGATTTAATGTGACAACAGCTAGGAGAGCACTTCCCTTGGGTCTCTTTCATATTCGTGCTGGTATGTTTCAAAACAGCCTGCAAGCTTCAGCCGTATAAGCTTGGTCGCGTCGTTGCTACATTTCTTATCACCAAAGTGACTCGGGCCTTATATGTAGCAACATGTTCATCCATTTGGGGTGTGGAACTGCCTGTAAGCTACAGGGATCAAAAGCTTTGAGGGCTTCAAAGTAGGAAACTCCGTCACACCGTCACAACAGCCAACCCACAACTCGTTCATCCTGACAGCCAAGTGCCTGTGTCGCAGCAGCTCTACACGCTGCTTCTGAAGACGCCTATATCTCCGATTACTGTAGATACGTGTATTGATTTTTATAACATAGTTACAAACAAAAAATAGGTGTTTCCTCCTTCTATGCGTTCCCTTCATCTCCGGAATCACTTTTTACATCGGAGAGCGTACTCTCAGACATAGTGTCTCGCACTTTTGGCACTTTACGACTTCCTTTACGAGTTGGATATGCATCATCTTCACAATCAACGTCCATAGCATCATGATCCTCATTTTGTGATGTAGAAGCAGATACAGACTGTTTACGTGTCTTCCTACGAGCTATACCATATGATATTTCATCATCATCGCTCTCCCTCCCGTTTTCTTCATTCTCTTCCTCGTCTTCATCATCAGAGTCAACAGCATATACTGGTCGTTGTTTGACTCGTTTTGAGGCTCGTGTACCATATGGGTCGTCATCATCGCCGTGTGCGAGAGCAGCTTTACGAGCTCTTGTAGGTCTTTTTCCAGCCGATGGTGATGATGATTCGATCTTGACTCGACCACTAGTAGCACCACGATTACTATGATTCCTATTATTTTGAGGTGATTGATTGACGGCTGTTCGTTTACGTGTTGAGTAATGAGATGTTGGTGCTGCCGCTTCGTGTTGCTCCTCATCGTCACCATTAAATAGACTATATCGAGTATTTGGTTGACGAGTTCTGGTTGGACGACCGGATGATGAGGTTGGCGCTGCAGGCTCTTCAAACATAGAATGCCCGTTATGGCGACTAGACGACCGAGCTAGAATTCTTCGCGGTGGTGTAAAGGTTGGTAAATCTTCAATTGCAGGATTATTTCGAGTTGGAAGTCGTCTATGAGTTTGTCTAGCCCTATTTTCAATACCATTGGGAGGTTGGGCTGTCTCAATATCTTCGTCTTCCTTCTCTATTTCTCCGATTGCGTCATCATCGTCAGAGACATGACGCCGTCTCTGGGACCTACTATTGTTAATATTTCCATTCACAGCAGCTCTTGACCCATTCGCATCGTTCCCATTTACAGGGTGTGTCGATCCCTCACTATTACGTCCCCGTGATGACTGTCGAGTTGGAATCTCTTGAGGCCTTTCATCGTCAGATCCTTCATTCTCAGCACTTTGACCAGCTAGACTACTAGTTTGCCTTTGACTAAGAGCGGGTCTATTAATGCTACCGGAGGATGGTCCTGCACCTCCACGACCATTGCTCGTAGACGCGGTATTCTCAAACAATCTTGGATCGTATTGTTGGAAGCCATCCAATTCTAACCGAGCATTCATTCGGTCTTGTCGAGTGACGTAACGTTCTTCACGTTCAGCTCGTATATTCCGTTCTGGTGGTGGTGGCCTATCAAGTCGAGAGCTATGTCTAGTAGACATGTACGAAACACTTCCTTGCCGTGTATTAAGTCCATTGCGACGAGGTCTCTCTACTTCTCCATTCACACTAGACTGTCTTGTATTGTGGCCACTGCCACGACGTCTCTCTTCCTGTTCGTTCATCTGCGAATCAGCAGGTGACTCGCGCATTCGACTAGTAGCACGTCTAATGGGACGGTGACTACTTGATGCTAATGGTCGATTGTCGGTATAGGTGTCTTTATCGTCATCTGACTCCTCAGCGTCAGAGTCATCGTCATGACGGGTTGACTTCTTTCGCTCCAATTTCACTTCAGGGTTTCGACTACTCATTCGTAACGAGATCCTTGGAGTCTTCCTAGTCGAGAAATCTGCAAAAAGGTAAGCGAGCGCACAAGTCAGGAGCGGATACTTTTTGTTGGAGCAGATTTGAGAAACAAGACTTACTCTGGATGGCAACAGCCAGCTCTTTCAGTTTTGTATCTGCCAGCTCATATATATCACTTTCTGTATCATTGTATGCTTTGGCATTGTTAGCCATGCACTCTACATCCCATGCAACAGCCTACAATTGTTTCCTCAAGCGTGAGGGGAAGCCAAAAAAACATCGGGCAAAACCTGACCAGTCAGATTTGAACACACCTCGACTCGACGATAGAAACCACATAAAAGCCTTTCTTTGATGAGAGACAAGGACAAGACAGGGTATGCAATTTGCTCCAGATAGTCTGGGTACCGCTCAAAGTCGACAGTATCGGCAAAGACATCGTTGACAGTGCTGTCAACACCCTCAAGCAAGGCAAGAACAGCTTGAAGTCCTACAAAAAAGTTCAAGAATTGAGCATTACAAGACTACCACTGAGGAAAAAGCGCCCTTGGACTTCTAACCTTCAGGAGCGATAGCTTCAGCAACTGGTTGAGGTTCTTCAGTATCCGAAACTCTATGCTCCAGTTCCCAAGGAGAAAACTCCTCTTCTGGTCCTTCAGCATCCCAACCAACAGTATACTTCTTCCATAAGTCATTGGGATCTTCCTTGACTCCAATAATCTTGCCAGGATGCTTGTCTTCACCATATTGAGCAAGAATCAAATCATCCTTAACAAACTGTCGACCAACAGCCCTCCGAAATTTTGAATACAAGACTATAAAATCGGGAGTATCGGGCGCATCAAACCATGTAAAAGTTCGATGAGAACGACCAGCTGATTTAGTGGGTCCCAGAGATTCCCATGGTGGGGCAATCTCTGTACCTGGAGTTTTGGGTCCATATACTGCTACTTTTATAGTGCAAAGTAGAGGATTTCCAGACTTCCACTTTATTTCTTCCACTATACCAAATGTGAGGCCAGGTGTAGCAGGTGTTTTGGAGAGGCGATGATTCTCACCCAATACTTCCTTGGCTGTATCACTAAAATCACGTTGTCCATCATGCACTATGACTATCTGATCACGGATTTGCGGTAAATATGGTCCTTCATTGGGTTTGGTCTGATTAAGCCATTCAGTTGGTTCAAGCACAGGAAGACTGGGTTCATCAAGAGTATCGACATCTACGTCTTCACCTTCGTCGGATCCATCATATATACGACGTGTATTTTTATTTCCACTTCGATTCTTGGGACGATGAGTTTCTTCCTTCTCATCAGCTTCGCCCTCATACTCTGATGTATCATCAGATTCACCAGCTGTAATGTCGTTTTCGTAATCATCCTCTTCATCGATATCATCCATATCAATCTTGTTACGTCTGTGACGACGAGGAGAGGAGTTGTTGCTACTACTGCCACTTGCTTCTCCACCTCCTTCTTGAGCTCGTCCGTCTGTTGCCTCTCCTTCACTATAATTCAGTTTACGTCGTTTACGAAGACGAAGGCCATTCACCTCGCGTCCTCGCTTCTGGCTTTTCGGAGTAGTTCGACTACCACTGCCAGACGCCTGGGCAGTTCGTTTTGCTCTAGTCAATCTTCGACGAGTACGACGTTGAGCAGCACGATCTTCTTCGGTATCATCATCTACAACAAATGTGCCTTCAAGCTCTCGTCGCTCAGACGAGTCATATCCACTGCTAGCCTGCGATGATCCTTCGTCGATTCCTTCTGCTTTAAAGTCGTCATCTTCGTCAGAGTGAGGTAGTGGGACGATGGGTACAAGCCAATCCGGTCTCTTAGTGATGTCTTCTTCGTCTTCTGCTATGCGTTTACGAGGTTTTGGCTTCTTGTGCTGCACGACGACATGCTGTGGTTGAGTCATAGCATACTGTTGCTGTAGCCTAATGATAGTAGAATAACTGTTAGCTGCACAAAAACAAGAGTAAAAGGAATTTTCCTCAAAACCCATCCGAACTTACTCATGACGCTCCAACTCTAACAGCGCCATCTTCTCGTCTCGAACCTTTTGCAACACTTGTTCATCCATAATGATTGGTTGTCGTATACGGGTTTTCAAGTGCTCATATTCAGGATACACGGAATAGTTGATATCCATCAAAACGAGATCTTCATCAGTCACGACACTGGCAGGCATCTGCGTAGTCTCATCTACCAAACCACCATGCTGGTCTTCACGGATCATGTGAGACTCGATGGCGAATGCCTGTAAATGTGGTGCTCTTGGAGTAGAAGCATATGCACGGATATTATCAGTCAACCCATATAAGTGAGTGACGCCCATAGT